ATCTGGGTATTCTGATGCACATTTCCTCAATGTATGCATCTAATGTATGCATTTTCCTTCACTGATTCAAGCAAATGTGTAATTTTTTTCAAAGTATACATTTTCCAGACACTTTTCTTGTTTTGTTAATTGCATTCTAAACTCAGAAATGTGTGGACTGTGACTGCAGATTGCATTTGCATCTACATTTTGTTCTGGGATGTGGTCAAAATTGACCTGAACAAATTTGTCATACATACATCCTTTTAGTGGGAAATAAACAAAATCTCTGAAGATCACACATACAATTGAAACTGGAGGAGGGAAGTTGTAATAGGGACCTTAATAGTTTGTCACTATCCCATCTACAGGTGGTACCTGACTCTTCTCAAGGCATGCCTGGTAGGAATCCAGTTTGGCTGGCCTTGTTGCAGAAATAACCTGAGAGCTGCCTCATCCTTGGAGCCATCCCTGTGCTATGTTCCCTTTTAACACCCAAGATCAGAACTCAGGCTCAGATGACAATATGAGAATAGCTGGCACAGTGTTTTGCTCAGCAGCTCTAGCCTTGGGAATCCATGGTCGGCTGAAACGCGGACCACTTGGGCACCATCCAGGCCTGGAAACAGCGACTTGTCTGACTGTGTTCTGTTAAAAAAGGATCGCATCCAGGTTGCCTTTCTTCTTTTCAGCCCAGTGATACAAAACAGAGCAAAGGTGAAGCTTAGCTAGGAACCTACCTAAACTATTGTCACCTTATAAAATTCCCTAGCAACCTTTGCCCCAAAAAGGAGTTCCACGGTATGGTCTAGGTAAGGTTTCTCAGCAGAAAAGTCAATGTTAAATATTTCCAAAAGACAGACAGTTTGGAAATCATTTCTATATACCACTATTGCTATTGTGTTGAAGGACAAACAACCCAACCATTCTGAGACAGTTCCATGTTTAATTAGTATAATATTTTCTGGGATTTCCAGCTTAGTACTTCAACCTGTGCAATCAAATTACAGAATATCTTAGCCAGGCTTGTCTTCTGGGCCAAGCTCCCTCACTTAGTTCTTCACAAAATGAAAGGAACAGCAATCTACAACTGCTAGAAAGCTGTTCATATAGTACCAAATGGAAGCCTGGGTGCTGTATTCAGAACCGACAGTGCCAACAATGCACATGCAACTTGTGTTAGTGCATTTGTAATTATGAGACAAAGACCTTGTGCCATTCACAATGTGTTCTGTGAATATCAAAGTCCTGGAGATTTCAAGGAGCAAATTTATATTCAAGTAATATTCTCAATCAGATGTAGACACAGAGGGTGGTTTTCCAACTGTACCTTCCCCCTGTGCATCCTGAAAAGCTGCTCTAGAGGGTGGAAGTACCCTCTAGAGAGGCATGAGGCGGTGCAAGGACAAGAGAGACTCAGCAAAGAAAGCAGCTAAAAACCATTGGGAACTTACATGGAATCCAAGTTGCCTTCCAGCAACAAAAGGAGTCTTTCTGTTCATAGAACGGCCAATCTGGATGAATCCAACATAAAGTCATTGGATCAGGCTGTTTGTACAAAAAGCTATCCAGTTTTTCATGCAAGTGATTTGGTAGCCATTAGTTATTGTTAAACCTCTGATCCTAAACCCCCTTCATCTCCCTCCCTTGTTCTTTCCCAGTTGCAAAAGGAAATTGCTTCTTCCGTTCAGGTGTTTAGATAGCGTTGACAAACTGCTGCCATCTGCAGGCACAAGCTGGCAAGCACACCTACAGACAAGAGCAGATCAAATAAGCAGAAAGTAATTAACTGGGTAGCAGCGGAATCTGTCCCCCCACCTTTCTGATTTTAGCCGAGAGGTATGACCGAGTGTAAAGAGTTTTGCAGAAACGGAAGCTTCTATATTCAAAAGCCCCGTATTCCTCGCAGAGGCACCTCAGTCAAAGCCAGGCGAGCCGAAAGGCACGCGTCCTTGGTGTACAGCAGGAAAAGCAACGCAAGGCTCCACGCCACCTCCAGTCAGCGTCGTCACACGGGCTTGATTGCGAATGAGCTCTTTGCAGCGCTCCCAAGTACTCCCAGCGTTGCAGAACAGCATGTTCTTAAGATGCAGCCTGTGACATGCGAGCGGGATGATGCTGGCACGATGCAGGTGGAGCGAGACAGAGAGTGCTTTGGCTCACAGGAAGGAAACTGCAATCACTGCATAGCAGACGACATCAAGCAGAAGCGTTGCTTTCTTAAGAACATGCGGTTTTTTCCCCTTTTCTGACATCACTGTGTGCCTGTGGAGCTGTGGTGGGGAGATCTATGTAGTGGATGGAGAATTGCCCTTGAACAAGGGAGGATGGAGGGGTCGAATCCTCACCAGACTTTGGGTCAATCACTCCCTCTCGGAGATGTTATTTAAGGACAAACTGGGTTTCTTCTCTCCCTCAAACTTCTGATTCAAAATATTTGTATGCCGCCTATTATGCCATAGCATCTCTGTCCTCAGCTTCTCAGATGAAGGAAAATGTGGTAAATATGATAAACTGTTAAGCAGACCTTACATTTTTAAGGACAAACAAAAGAGTGTGCAGGCTTTCAAATGCTGATGTGCTGCATCGTGCTGGATGCAAGGAGGAGAGCTGGCTGGTGTGACATTGTGGAGTTTGCTTTATGCAACTGTGCGACTGTTACTAACCACAGATTCCATGGCTTCAGTATCACTCAGCTTTCCTCCTCCTCGCTTTTCTACCATCCAGTTTGCTAAAGAACTCAAAAGCCTGTTTTTTTTTTTTTTTGCGGGGGGGGGGGCAATCTTTGGATTGGCTTAATAAAGCCATTTTCTGGATTTTGTATATTTTTTCCTTATGACCAACTAAGCTACTTTTGTTTGGGTGTTGTTGCTCGTTAACCTTTACAGTGTAATTGTTGTAACACTGGGTCTGACATTTGCAGAAGCACTGGCTTGATTCAGACATAATGGCAAACCAGGCTTGGTGCTATATGAACAGGCATGGGACCCACTTGCTCTCTTCTCAATCAAATTCTCATATACCAGGAGAGACAATACTGCATCCATATTATCAAGTCCAATCAGCAGCAATTCTCCAGAATCCCAGGCAATGGTTTTCCTGATGCTGATCCTTTTTTGCCATATTCTTTTAACTGTAGATGCTGGGATAGAGCCGGCATTCTTAGCATGTGCTTTACCATGATTTGTTTGTTTGATTTGTTTGTTAGATTTGTATAAACGCCTCGCATCAGCATCAAACTAATGCCAGTTAGCAGTGCGCTTTGTAAAGAAAGCATTATTCTGCCAGTTCAGATATAAGAGCAGCCTATGGAAGGGAGGGAATCTCAACACACTAGAGAATGACCCTGATGCTTGCTCATATCATTCCATGCTCTAGTCTGGCATTCTTTCCTCAACCAAACCACTTTGGAGTAAAATGCTGGTGGTACTTCATATTTCTGAAGAAGCTACAGACACCAGATGCAATAAGCAGCTATGAAGAGTCCTGCAGGGGAAGATCTAAGCAAGTTCAGCATCAGCTTGATTTTCAGGGGCAGGAAAAACTGCATTAGTTGAAATTTTCTTTTCCACTATGATAGCTACAAATGGCCCTGTATTCCTTTCACTTGGAAAAGTATCATCTAAAATCTTATAGCCACTTCACATTGTATAATTCCTACATGGGAAACATTACTGTGTAAGCACTGATGTTTGAGGGTTGAACATATGTGTTGTTTCACTGCACTTATGAGGACAGGGAAACCATGACTGATACTGGTTGCCCAGTGCCCATATATTTATTAGATTTTTATCCTGCCTCATTAGCTATAAGGCTCTGGGCAGGCTGCAAGTAAAAATATACAATCAAATAAAATAAAAATAACAATATATAATGAATATTAATATAACTGTATTAAAAAAAAAACCTTATGACCCAACAATTAGAACCATGTCAGAAACCATGTTGACATAAAAGGAAAGGACACTGAGGACTGGCACAGCAAGCTTTCTAAAATCCAGTGAGAATTAGTGAATTTCGGGGCATCTGCTGAGGGGATGGAGGGTTAATGCCGAACCTCCACCTCTGCTCTCTGTGAATATGTGTGGATAAATGCCAATATTACAAATGCCTGTAAGTCTCCAGTGGCCTCCATTTAGGGAAACCAGGCACACCCAGGGCTCACTGACACCCCTGAAACTTCTCACCACTTGGAGCATGTAGTAACATGAAGTGGCCCTTTGCGTATGGCTGGCTAAACTTTGAAGTTCCACAGTCCAGCAAGCTAAATGTCACCAGTCTGTTGTGAACAGAATAATTTATGGCATCATTAAATATGATTTACTCAATTCACCAAGGTCATTTAGGGTCGGTGGGACAGCAGCACCCATGCTCCTTTAGGCACACAGTGCGCCAACGTCTGCATCCTCCACTGAGTAATATAAGCAACAAGTTCAAGGGCATCGCTTAGGCAGTGCTGCCATGTGTGAAGACAGCACAAAGTGGAGCAGAGAGAAGCCAAGCTCTTCTGCACTCGAAGATGCATTTCAGGTGGAGGTGGAGCACTGCACCCACCCCTCCCTCCCTGCGACATGTGAAAAGGGGCTTTAGAAAGCTCGCAATCTGTCCAGCTAAAGTTTGAAAGGGGCATCCTATTTCGGAGTCCTTTTGCCTCCCTATCCAAATTTGAGCTGCCAGTTGAAGGCCCAGGATTCTGCGAGACATTATTATATCCAGGTTACCCAAGTTCTCCCTGATGCTAAATATCTGTGGCATCCACACACAGATAAAACTCACCTCCTGTTTATTGAGTCATCTGGTCATCCAAGTACATTGGACTGTCATCAAACCATACTGAACTTTGATTATACAATGCCAGCTGGTAATTTTGAATAAATCAATCAATGTATCAGCTATACTGAAGTTCATTGTGTTTGAAAACTTTTATAGCTAGTGAGAATAGTGTAGTAATGTTGTCAACTTTGCTGGAACAGCCCAGCCCAGAAATGCCTTGCTGTTGTTTGTTTTCTTTTGCTGTTTAGTTCATCCCACTGAATGGAGAATTCATTTTGGCCCCCGGTGCTGGGTTTGCAGCTTTTGACAGCCGTTCCAATCCAGGATGTGACACAGGTACTGTGCTCAGTGTATGTTAATTAGTCATGCAAATGAAACACTTTGAGAATATGCCTCAGTCACTCAGCTGTTCACTTGAATGTTTCTCCTAGTCATAATTAACTTTTCCCTGGAGTCCTCCAAAGTTTGAAATAGCAGTCAGAGCTTTCTGTGCCATAACAACAAAAAGGGATTGTGAAAACTGTAAAAAGATCTCTCCAAATAGAGAGAGTGGACATCAGAATAGCAAATGTAGTGCAGTGTAAGCAAGTGTAAACTGATTCATGTTGAGACACCTCCCCCCTGCAATTTCAAGCATAAACTGATGGGATCTGAGCTAGCAATCATTAACCAAATAAGAAATCTTGAGGTTGTGGAGGACAGCTCAAAGAAATTGTTGACCCCCGTGTGCAGCTGCTCTGAAAAAGGTTACATCCAAGGTAGGCATAATCAGGAAGGGACAGGACAGGACAGGACAGGACAGAAAAATTAAATTGCCAATATCACACTGTCTTTATACAAATCTATGGTGTGACCATCCTTAGAATAATGTGCCTAGGAATGTGCATAGTCTCCATAGCTAAAGAGGTTATTGTAGAGCTGGAAAAAGTGCCGAAAAGGGCAATTAAAATGGCCAAGAGGCAGGAGGAAATGTTCCAAATGAAGGTGATGCTCCAAAGTGACTACATGTTCTGCTAGCCAAAGAACTGGTGCGAGCGACACCTATAGTGATGCAGCATTATGAAGTGTGACAGGGCTTGTGCAAAGGCTTGTGCCCACAGAACTGGAATAGTATTGAATCTGACATTTGGGCAAGGAAGAAAAGGAGTAGAGGAAGTGCTTCACAATCAGCAGGACATCACTGGATACAATTCTGCTTGGGCTTTCTGCTAATATGGGGAGACCAATGCCTGTGTGGTGCTCTTGTCAAGGACTTTTCATTCACGTCACAGGAAGAGGCACCTTTATACCTGAAAAGGGATATACAGTAGGAGGTGACGTCTCTCAAGAGAGAAGTCCATTCACCTGCAGTTTCTTGTGGACTGAAGGTGGAGTTCTAGGTGAATGGGGTGTCAAAACTTTATCTGCAGGTCGGGGGAGGGGGCAGGGAGCATAGTCCCCTGAATTCTAAGCTGATCAGGAGTCACGCCGAAACTTTGTAGTGAGGCCCTTGTGGTCTTTGCAGCTTATGAGCATACTGGATTAAGTGCAAATACATATCAGCTACATTAATATTAAACAGAGAGAAGGTTGTTAATGAATTAAATATGAATTTCAGTAATACACTGTATACAGCAGCCCTGTGTATTGCTTATTTTCACATTAAAGTCCCCAGCAGAGGAACTGTGGGATGTAGTTCATGGATGGCATGCTTACAATTGCGCTTGTCAAGAGCTGTGGCTGGGTAAAAACCAGTGGCTAACCATAGCTAATAAAATTGTCGTGTTTATCGGCATCCATAGCTTCCCACAGACTTGTTTGTGTACTGAGTTTGTGGGAAATCCTCTTCAGTTTTTTGGTGTTTTTTTAATCAGGATTGATGGGAAGACAGGCAGGTTCCGATGCATCTGTAGGCACATTAGTCTCTTCACTGGTCCCCCATATTGGGGGCTCTGGCTATATCTGGATACCCCTTTTCCCTTGGGAAGGCTGGCGGGAGCAGTGGCACAGCTGAACACCTTTGCGGACCTGGTCCAGCTTTGAATCCAAGCCAGTGAAGAACTCAGCTCCTTCTACTCACCTGCCCCACCAACTTGTGAACAGGCAAAAAGGAGGGTGCAGGTGGACACCAATTAGCACAACGCATACCTGTGCCAGTTTATACGTGGGTACTCCTGGATAAATAATTCCTATACTTTAAAATAAAGACTCTACATCTCACCATAGTAGCAGAGACTATGACCAGGTGCAAATGTGGTTGGACAGCTTCAAGACCACTCCCTGCTCTGCCTTCTTATGTTTGTTTATCTTTAAACTGGGCTTGGACTAGATTGCCTTTCAAATAGAAAATGTTTTCAAAACAGCAGAAGTTTCTCTGGCTGTCTTTAAACAGAGGACTATGCTCTGTAAAAGGACACCTGGCTACTTCAACTCCAGCCTGTCTCAGTCCTTCCATGGACCTTTCTGCAGCTCTACAAGGCCTGGTGGCAGGGTGAGGAAGGGAGGTCATAACTGTGGTGGCACATCAGATCCCAGCAGTGCTGGGAAGCAGTTTTCACAGCGGAGATGCTTGCTGGTCAAAGGCAAAGCCGTGGGCACAATCCTGCCTGCCTCACCCTGCATATGTTCACTATTCAGAGCCTTCCATGAGAAAAGGAATGCAGTCTGTTGATTAAGAGGCCCTGACATTGTCAGAGGCTGAAGAGCAACAAGAAAATGATTTGCGCTGCACATGTATGTGGGACTCTTGATCAACATGGTGAAATCTAAACCAATATGTTTCAGCAACCTGTCTAGATGTTTCCATCTTAGTTTAGCTGCAACACTGTAGAGCAGAAGTTTGTTTAAAACAAATTAACCCAATTTTTCAGCTAAAAAGAGCTCCAAGAACAACTTACACTGATCAGAAATAAGATGCTCCCTGCCTGCAGGCTTACCATCTAAAAGACACAGCACAAAAGGAAAGGAGGGTGGGGGGGGGGGAAACCCGCACAAATTTGGGAGGTAGGTACTTAGTCATGAAGTTTAGCAGATCATGAAACTGGGTTTAAGCATTTGAGATTCAAATGCTGTAGTTTCCTCTGTTTCTGTGTTTCTGATGTGGCAGTTTTTAGGGGCCAGCTGAGGGAAGGGTTTTCCTCTGAACTGGGATCCAGGCATGATGGAGAATTCTTCTGCTTCCTCTGTCTCTGATAGCCTCAGCAGTGGTGTCTTTAGCACAAAGAGATAGGCAGTGCCTAAACAAAATCCAGATTCTCTCATACAGAAGAAGACCTTTCCTGTCCATGAAACACTAGCTCTAACTAATCCAATAGTGCATGATGCATGTACTTATTGAGATCCACTTTAAAGATGGACAGGCAGCAATGGGTTTGGTTCCAAGATTTTCCCTCCACATTATGAAAGGCCAAACAACAAAAACAGTTTTGTAAGCAGAGGTCCACAGAGAAGGGAAAAGGATGCTGGAATTCTTGGAATGACATATTAGAAGCTCTGGCATTAGAGGTCCTACACTGTGATTAAAGATGTCTGCATGTCCAGGGTGTACGTCCACCTGCATGCCCATGCATTCCTATGATCTATGCACTTAGTTACCTTTCGTTATGAGAAACAGGTGCCATTCATATGAATGGTCTTGTCACACAGATTGGGCCATGAGCCTGCAGGACTTAATTCTGTCTGGATCTGTGCACACATACAAATAAACTAATGAAGCAAAATGGACCGCTTTCATTCTATCTTTGCCATCGTTTTTCCTCTTTTAGCTACCAAAGTCACATTCACCAGTGCAGAGAACTACCAGTGGTATGATCCCACATTGTGGGAGGCTGCAACTTCCTTAGACAACCTTGAACAGGGCAAGCTGATGTTCTCTGTGGATGAAGAACGAGTCCCGTGTCAGTATGACGACGCTATCTTTCAGCCTGAAACGTCTTTTCGAGTGAACATCGAGTCGCCTGAGCAGATGATACAGCTTAAGAGCATTTCTATAATGGGACAGGTAAATTGGGATGTCTATGGGATGAAACTAACCCTCTTGGAATTTGGAAAAAAAATCTAAAAGGTTGTGACTGAAGCCAGGCATCTTCTTCATGGTTTACATTGGATTGGTTTGGAAAATAAGCAGAGCTTCTTCCAAAACTGTAAACAGACTAGCTTATTTTCTGAGCCAACCTGACTCTGAAAGCTGCCAACCTCTATACATTTCCCAAGGGACAACAGCATATGCTCCAACTGGGAAAACATTCTATAAACCATGAGGAAGAAGGGAAACCTTATACAAACATTCAGCTCCTGGGCCTCTGAAGGACCTGGGGAGACGGTCGAAGGAAAAATAGTGGGATTCATGGATCACAAGGAAAAGGTGGTGGTCTAAGGCTTATGTACGAGTAGATCCAAGGTGAAATCACAATATCCGTGTATTATTTCAAAAAATATATACAAATACTAGTGACCAAGTTCCTCATCACTAACATTTCAAAAGGTTCATGGATGCCACTGTAGGGATTCAACAAGGCCCGATTATGGGAAGGCCCCATCTTTGTTGATACAGCTCCATAATGGCTGAAAGAGCCGGGCCCATTTAGATTAAGGAGAGAAATGGCAGCAGTCTTTGAATATGGGAAGTTCTATCATTCACAAGATGGGTTGTTCTTTGTTGCTATAGATGACACTACCAGAACCAGTGGGCTAGAGTTCCAAAGGATCAGATTTCAGCTAATTGTCAGGAGAGACTTCCTAATAGTGAGGACTGTTTTGTGGTGGAACAGACCTCCTTAGGAGATGGAGGGCTCCCCTTCACTGGAGGCATTTCAACAAAGGCCAAATGGTCGTCTGCCAGGGATGCTGCAGCTGCATTGCAGATCCGGCATGAAGAAAGGTGGGTTAGAATCCTAGATGATCTCCAATCAGATGATCTCATATTCTGTCTCCCTACTTTGAGCACCCCTCACATGTACTTTGGATTTCCAGGGGACAATCCATAGTGGCTTGTTTGTGTGAATCAGGCCTCATGCTATAAAGGCATCCTGCTCTCCATTTAACAAAGTGTGGTTGCTGGTGCAAAGCTACAGCAGCTGATACTACCCAGAGAATCTGTTGTGGCTATAATTAAACCATTTTGATTTTGATTTGCAACTGGGAAAACAGACCTGCTTCTACTTACAATTATGGATCTCTGTGTTTTGTTCCCCACCCCACCCTCCATCCCTGGACTGGAATTAGAAGTTCACCAGCGACAGCACCCTGGCAGAATATATGCAGAGCTTGTCTGGAAAACTGCAGTTCCATGGACAAGGGAGATTCCAGTTGTCGAATTCCAGGTGTCCAGACAAATCCGGCTGTCAATGTGGAAATGCTGCAGTAAGTTTTTGTCCTCTAGCCCATGCCAGAGCTCTAGCTCAGGGTGGAGAACCTATTTTCTGTCAAAGCCAGGTTATCCCAGGGCTTCATGAAGATATACGCATCAGTGAAGCTGGCAGCGTTTTCTTCAGGGCCCTCTCCCGCTGATCCAGTGAAGGAGAACCAACTGCTGCATATTCATTATCCTTCAAACCTCAGACAGACAAACATTTACAGAAAAAAACAAGGTTGCTTCCTGAGCTCTTGCATTTCTGATCTCGTCTGAAAGAAGGCTGAAATAATTCCTCTCTGGATCTTCCCTTAGTGAGAGCAGAGAATTAACCATATTGGAAAGAAAAGTTTAATTATCTCTCTTTTAATTGGGTTCCTGTTAGGTTGTTATGGAATGCAGTGGGATTATGAGGCAAATCTGCCTCGCTTTTGCAGCCTTGGACTGCATCTGTTATTCAAGCCATTATCATTATCATCAATACTACTAATAATTAATACTAATACTACTAATAATAATAATTCCACTGAGTGCTCCATTGCTCTCTCTCTCTCGCTGTGCTGTGGGGCAGGGAAGGAAGGGAGGAAAGATGGAGTTCTGCTTCAATAAACTGACTCTTGACACCCGGTCCCAGCAGTCTGGCAATGAGGTTCCAGTTTATTTCTGTGGTTCCCTTTGGCTGATTGTGATGGAAATATCAGAACAGCAAGTCTCTAACAACTGTTTCTTCAGTGAAAAATCTAACTGTTCCTATTAAAGAGCCATGACAGAATCTGCACTGCCCTGCTCCAGAAGACCGGAAATCGCTGTCCAACAGTGGTGTGCAAGGGTCCACTGAAACCTGTCGGTCATTGCTGTGAAATATGTGGTAAGTGAAGGCCAGCTGCAGTTACACTTGGACAGAGGCACAAAGCCCAGGCCTTGCATGTGGGATATGGGCCAGTGGGCAGCCAGCGTGCTTTGTCATGGTGGCAGCCACACTTACACTGAGGGAACTCAGTGATGTGCGTGTGTTTTGCACACAAGAGAGCGTATTCTGTCCCCAGCTTCAAATGCACCTGGGGAAGATCCTTGTCAGAAGCCGAGTTGCCAGGCAGGGTAGAAGCAGTATGGCCTAGAAGGGCCAAGGCCTGACAGTGTCATTCCTCTTTGCAGTCGGGTCTGCACTACATCACCAGCAAAGCTGGAACTACTCTGTGTAAGCTCTTAAAGTTCTCCATTTTGGACCAAGTTTCTACTTCTGACACTTGATTTAAAAGAGTTTGAAAGGAAATCCCTTAATCCGTAGAACACGAATCCCTCTTGGGCTCTGTGTAGCCAGATGCCTGGAAAGATTGGCAGAGGACAGAAAAGGCAAAACCCTTTCAGTCCAAGGGGCTGCATTCCATTTTAAAGAAGCCCTTGGAGGCCACATTCCAGGGGTGGAGGGCACCAATGCAAAGGGGTGGAGGAGAGCAAAGAAAACACATGTAAGAGGCAAAAAACATATAAGAATACCAGCTTATTCTAGTTGAAACCTCTGACTAAGAGCTTCAGAAATGACAATTCAAACTTTTAGGATAAGGAAAACATCTGGCCAAAATCCAAGAAACCAGCAAAGACAGTTGTGGGGAAAGTGATGAGTCAGGGTGAGTGAGCTGGACCTGCTGGGGAATCCAGAAGGTCAGATTGGGAGCTGGGGTGGGGGGATGTTGCCTCTAGGCCAGATGTCCCTGTACCTTGCTAGGGCCCAGTGGAGCCATTTTCCTTCCTTCCCTTCTGTTTTGTTTACAGAAGATGCATGTGAGGTGGATTAGCCTGAGAGACAATTACTTTCTGAGACCTGTTCTCCAGCTCTGTTTGCATCCCAGCCTTCCTCCAAGGGATTAACTCATAAGAATAACCATGCTGGATCAGACCAAAGGTCCATCTAGTCCAGCCCCCATGCACATAGTGACAAACCAGCTGGTCACAGGATTGCTCGAGCAGCATGGGCGCAAGACCACTGCCCAGCCAGCTCCTCAGCAACTGGGGTGTGCAGGCAGGCCTCCTCTGGCAAAGGAGGGAGCACCCAGCCAGCAAGGCTAGCAGCCACTGAGAGCCTTCTCCTCCACGAATCTGCCCAATCACCTTTTAAGCCCATCAAAGTTGGGGGCCATCACTGCATCCTGTCCTGTGGCAGTGTGGTTTCCATGGTTTGATTCCATGGTTTCAGCATACATTGTGTGAAGAAGTACGTCCTCTTGCCCCTCCCAAACCTCCCAGCAACCAGCTTCCTGGGATGTCCCCAGGCTTGAATGTTATGGGAAAGGGAGAAATGGCTCCTTCTCCACTCTCTCCACACCATTCATTATTCCAAACACCGCTATCCCATCTCCCTTTCCTCTGAGCTTCTGCAGCCCCTGCTCACGGGGGAGTTGCTCAGCCCCCTGATCTTTTTGGTTGCCTTCCTCTGTACCTTTTTCAGCTCAGGTACTTTTGATCCCTGCCAGCCAGTCCATGCAGTAGATTCTGCTAACTGTCCCCAAATTGCCCAGTGAATCAGCTTCATGGCTCAGCCGGGATTTGGACTTGGGTTTGCCCAGTTCTGATCTAGGTGAGTTTCATGAAATTAGCACAAGAGTCCTGCTGGCTCTGACCAAAGCATCCTCTATCCCACCGTGGCCAAGTAAATGCTTAGAAGAAGCTTACAAGTAGCACTCAAAGGCAGCATCCTTTCCTGAAGTCATGGCCCAGCAGGAGTGGGAAATTAATCAAAGCTCAGCATGTCTCATTTCCAATCATGAATGTCAGCTTTTCTTGCTGACCAAACATGAAAAGTGCACAATTAGGTAGACATTTTAAAGTGCGCACCCAAATGCATACTTCCCCCCCACAGATCGACTAAAGCATGAAAGTGCATATCCTCCCCTATCAAATGTGCATTTTTAAAAGTAAAGATTTGTCTAATTAACACATTTTGCAGATGTGATGACAAGCCTGAGAATATGCAAACTTTGCCTGAAAAACATGCTCAGGGTACAAACAGAGCAAGTTCTGCTGTTTAATATACTAAAACAAAACAGAATCATTATATGTCCCTATTCCCCAGCAACTTTTATTCATAGACATTCTTCTCGTGCTCAAGGCAGATGCAGTTGCAAACCAGGAGTGGGGAACTGTGAGTTTGCCTCATCCCAGCGACACGCAATTTTCCCACTGTATTCCAGGGAACACTGGAGTTCTTCCAAAGCTCATTCACAATTCCTCTGTGAGCAGACTCATCCTGAACAAGCTTTATTGCAGGAGAATGCGCACTGTCTCTACAACTGATCCTTCCCCATATCCTGAACCCTCAGAAAAATATTCTAGGTCACATTCTCAGTCTATCAAGGGTCAGGGAACATGCCGAGCCTCGAGTGGCCTGGCCAGGGTCCAAACCTTGCAAGGTGAAAGCCAGAGCAGCTCCAGTGAAGAGCAGGCAGAGAGTAAAAAAGTTCCCGTTGTGGGTGTATTCAGAGACTGAATACCAGAACCACCAAACTGGAATAATCAGTGATGGGTATGTCAGTACCCTGGACAGATCCCGGGAGCTGATGGCTCATTTTGGAGAATTTGGTCTTCACTGAACTCCTTCTATAGTTCCTGGACCTGACTCAGCCTTTGCTACGGAATGGGGAGATCTATAAATGGAAACCACCTTGAGCTTTAATGAATGGCGGTATATAGACGAGAGTTAATTAATGGAGGTGTGTAGATGAGATTTAATGAATAGCAGTATATAGACGAGATTTAATGAATGGTGGTATATAAATGAGATTTTATGAATTGTGGTATATTATTTTTTAGAATATCCTGTGGCTTATTGCCTGGCACTCCACCCTCTCTCTGAATTAACTTGCTGGACATATCCTGTGCTGCACGAAGTGGACTTGAGGGAGAGTGAGGCTCCAGGGCATAACATGTTGGACCTTTGGTAGTTTCGTCTCAAAGACTTGGAAGTCCCTGAGGATTCCAGTTTAGGGGCCTTTGGTTCAAGAGGTTCTTAATTGCTGGAATCCAGTTTAGTATCAGGGCTCCAGCGCTCATGTTCCCGACCTTCTTGATCCAGCAATCCCCTAGCACATGAGTCATTGTTCAGGTGGCTGTTGATGAGATGGCTCTCGACAGGCAATTCTTCACTTGCAATGGAACAAGAGGGGGCAAAGCTGTCCCGGGCTATTCTAGTGCCCTCCATGACAGTCCGAAATCTGTGGGTGGGTGTTTTCCACAGCATGGAGATAAAACACAATATCCTGCTGAACGTCAGCCCCTTGGTGGCTTGTCTATCCATCGTGCCGATAATAATAATCTCTGCCTACGTGGAAGTGGAAGATCACCAATTACTAAATTATTCCAGGCCATGTTTTATTGCCAGAGTACAGCTGCTAGGAACGCATTCCAGTCCACAGTTGGGAATGAGACTAACTGAAGGCAGCAGTAATGGACCTAAATTGAAATGCAATTTAAAATGAAAAATGTGTCCAACAGGCTAGTGACATTTCCTTCTCCTCCTCCATATGGTTCTTGTCTGTGAGTTTACCTGGGAGGCAAATGTGGGTTTTGGTGTTTTTCTGTACAGTGTTTCAAATTCCCAATTACCATATGAAAACTGAATGCTTTAGGGTGACACCATATGTTGCTTAGGTGAGCCTTTTGGAGCAATTAAAACAACATTTTCCAGGAGCTCCATGCTCCCGGAGCAGATTTTTCCCCTGCCCTCCAGGGGGAAAAGAATAAACCAATACAGATGCCAAAGGGTATGTACAACTACATGATCTTCTTTTAAAGCCTTATGGGCAGAGACATAGCTGGCCACATTTGTGTGATCCTAATACCCACTGATTCCCCTCCAAGAGAATCCAAACTTAACAAAATCTGTACATGACTGGCAAACGTACTCATTTTGCATTTGACATGCTCCCTTCAATTGCACCATTCTAGATGCAATGGCTGGATTTTTTTGCAGGATTTAAAATCTGGAAGAAGGAATGGTGAGGTGGTAGGAATCTAGACATGAATATGCATGAGAGGTCGTTGTAGTGATAAAGTGGCTGAACATGACTGGAGGATGCGACAGGAAAGGATGAAGCCATAGAAAAAAGCAACAGATGCTCCTGCTGTCTGGAAAGTGGTGCTCCTGGCAGAGCGGAAATCAAATATGCCCATGTTCCATTAATGCTAATATAGCAGCAAGTTAAATGGTCCTTGGTCCCTCTGAAACTGATGGGAAAACAGCAATTCTACCCCTGAAGATGGCTCATTAAGTCCTCACATATGAAGCGACTTTCAGATTGTTGAATTGTCCTGTCCCAGGACTCTGATGGGTAGCAGCTCTCCGGTGCCCTAGTCACAGGTATTTGCTGCCATCTGCTACCTGGTTCGTTGAAGGAGGTATGCTGCAGATTGAATCAGGGAGCTTCTGTGCTGAAAGAATATTCACGCCTACTGTGCAGTGAATATGCTTTCAGCCTTCCATAGGCAGAGGGGGGCAGCTTAGGGAAGGTGTCCCTGTCCAGTTATAAGGACCTTCCCATTCAGCTGGAAGCTTGAACCCTCTGGACAATATTTTCAGGGGGCTGGGGGAGAACAAGGTGGGGAACTCTGCTTCCAGCAGCCCAGCTGAACACAGCTACATCTGGATCTGACCTACTGAGTTATAGATCCTGCCATTTCATAGCTTCATAGCTCCTGAGTCCTGTGGCCCTTCCGCCAACATTGTGCAGAAGGTCTTGCAGAAATAGCTAGATCAGAAGCACCAGAATGCATGTCACATAGGCAGGTCACCCTTCCACATGATATTGGCATGGCGGCTGCTGACTGGGAGCACATGAACTAGTAGCTCAAAATTGCACAATCATCAGGCTGGAAGGGAGCAAAGGGGCTTCTAGGGGCTTCAGAGGGGCCTGGCAAAAAGCAAGACCATTTCTTCACCAGCTCCTCATGGCTCCAGGTCATAATATGTTGTCCGCAATTGATTAAGCACCCTGTAGAAGAGCACAGCAGTGGGCCCAAGGAAGCCAAGTGGCACTCTGCAGGGCCACTCGGGCTCCACCTCACGGAGTGCCAAGTCTGCAGCCACGTCAGGGGGTGGCAGCAGTGCTGGAGCAGGATCTGTCCCTTCTCCTGTGGGACACGCCCGGACCAGCTGCTAGCATTAGGATAGCCCACTTTTGCTTGCAATTGCAAAGCCAGTTACTCATTTGTGTCATTTCCTCTTGTTGTTTTCCAACTCCAGGAGCCACCATTTCCTTGGAATACTCTTCTGGTTTTGACATTGAGCTGTATCGGGACAGAATACTTCACACTTTTCTGAGTCTGGTATGCTGATCCTAGTCCTGGACGTGACTCAAATGGGAGACTGGAAGCCCTCAACCGATCTGAGATCAATTATTATCATAATTGCTTTTGAAATAAGAATAGAAAGAGCAGGCTCGGAGGCCAGAAGCCTGTGATACGGTTCATACTGTTAGCCCAGCCTTCCCAGAACGGTCTCTTCTGACTGGCAAAAGCTCCTCAGACCCTCCCAGGGCTCAGAAAGTGAAGGGCTTTTCCCAGACATATTGTTGGAGCACTTCCATGGAAGATGCCAGGCAGCCAGCCTGGGACTCTGTGTGTGTAAAGCAGAGTTGGGACCGGGCAGGAAGTGCCACTCCCAAGCCACCGGGTGAGGAAAGGAGCAGCGGGCTGAGGTCGGAACACTATTTAAAGCTTGGACTGCTTCTTGCTTTTATGCTGGAAGACAAGAGAACATGCCGCATTATGATGCAACAGTGAATAGCACCCTTTTACCCAGATTAGAAGGGCAGAACGTGCCAATGATCATTGCATTGCGCTTATATCCTGCCTTTGTCTTGGGAGGAATCTGAGACTGCTCACATAGCTCCCCTGCATCCTCGCAACATTCTGCAAAGTAGGTTAGGTGTAGCATGAGAGATTGGGGCTAAGGTACCCAGGCATCTTCATGGCTGAGTGGGGGCTAGAACACGGGTCTGCCAGGTGCCCAGCCCAGCCCTCTGCCCACCGCACCACACTGGCTCTCCCGGCAGAGCTCCCTGGCTGCAGTGCTGGAGTCCAGGGGAAGACACGGTGGTCAGCTGGAGCGGTTCTTTTGCTGCCATAAAGCTCATGTGCATCAGAAGGCATATATGGCACTCGATGTGACACACGGCGGTTCAGAGAAAGCAGGGCCGCCTGGTGGTAAGGCAGGCTTCTCATGCCCAAATATCCTATATTCAGTCTTTGCCATCACCAGCTATCCATGCTCCAGGAAGCTGGGAAGATCTTGGTAGCTTGCGGACCTGTCCAAGAAAGATGCCAGTGTCCCGGCTGATTTGGCACGATCAGCAGCGTAATATGCCAGTGGTGGGCTATAGTGAATGTATGTATGTGCTGTTTGTGTTTTGCTAAGCCCAAGAACGCAGGTGTGCAGGTGGCCATATCGAAGGTGCACAAGCCACACACCTCCCCAGGAATGGGGCCACGCAGCTCTGCCCCTTTCATCCAGATCGTGCTAATGGACAAGACTGAGCCACAGACCGGGACTTCTGCTGAACAGCTGGCTAAAGACATCATGAAGGACGTGGCAGAGCACGGTAACCCTTCCCACTCCCTTCTGGGTGCAGAGCCTCGTCCCGGTGGCCCCGCGCAAGAGTGGGTGGCCGAGGGGCAGCCCAGCACCATGCCTTGCACAGCTGTCCCCCTTGCAGGAGGGGCTTTAGCTGGGTCGGGGAGCACATGGGCTCCAGGCTCAGTCCTGGGCACCTTCAGTTTAAAGAACTAGGCCACGGGCGACGGGGAGGACTGTTGCCTGAGACCCTGAGTGCTGTCGGAATAGTATAATGGGTGAGAAGGAGAAACAGTCTAATCTGATGCAGAAGAAGAGGCTTTCCTGCCTCTGGGCTTGGTGTGCACATGCAAAGCTGGGCATCCACACAACGGAAGGACATTTAAAGAGTCTGCTGTATGTCGTCTTGTGGCCCCGCTTCTTCTGGTCCTGGCCCCTTTTGCCTTCAGCAAAAGCTTGCTTGGTCCTCAGGCTGAGAGGGGCTCAGTGGTCTGTCGAAACACTGCCTGATGTTCCCAGCATCCTTTTTGCAAAGCCTCCAGAGTGACTGCTGTGCACCTCACCTCGCTCAGCTGTCTCCCGAGGAGCAGCACCTGGAACATGAAGGCATCCTTTCAACAGTTTTATGCATCTTTCTGTTGTGTGGATTTGTCAGGCTTCACATCCCGGTTTTACCCCAACTGACTTCCGTTTATGTACAGCTAAGATTAAATTGGCTGCCCTCGTCTCGCTGGGCCAAGCTTGAGTGAAGTGTCATAAAAGAGAACCCTCCGAGGCTCTTGCTGCTGATGAGCAGGATGACGCATTTGCCTGGAGGCCTTGGCCTGTCAAAAGTGGCAAGTGACAATCACAGCAGTCACAACTGTGCGTGTTCAAGCCCACAAGGTGATCTGCACTCATATTTGCAGTCATCCTCACAAGAACTCTATATAGTGGGTGGGCATGAGATCATATGAGACATACTAGCTACATGATGCCACATTATATTATGCATTCAACTGAGACAGAGGAATGTAAATAGAAAAGAGGAGGAGGAGGAGGATCCATTTAAGGCGCAATCCTCTGGATGCCAGATAGAGGCTAGATGGTCATAGGAAACATAGAAGCATGAAAGTCATAGAAACAGAGTGGGTCAGAGGGGGTCTCCTGGGCCATCTAGTCTGACCCCCGGCTCCAGCCAGCTCCGCCCACAACATGCCCACCATGTGCATGTCCAGCCTATCCTTGAACACCTTCACTGATGGGGCTTCAGCCACCTCCCGTGGAAGCCCATCCCATCCCCTCGGGGAGAAGGCAGCCTCCTTGTTCCGGCCTCAGGAACACATGCAGAAGTCAGCACTGAGAGTGCAGCTTCCGAGCGCCCCCCTCCCCCGGCCTCATGGCCAATGCAGAAATGACTCCCAAGTGGCAAGACAGACTGCAGTGCAGGCATCCTGGGGGATGCGGTGGGGAAAGGGCCTTACCAGCACGGCATCTATTCTGGCGATGCCCCAAAGAGCACCTCCTGTGCCAGCACTCAAGACTTGGGCACCTGAAGCCGCCTTCTGGCCAGGAAGGGCAGAGTGGAAGGGGGAGCTGCGGCGCTGGCAGCAGCCTCCATTCAATGCCTGCAGTCCTCCAAATGCAGAAGAGTACAGACAGTGGCGCCAGTCTGCACACATTTAAACCCATCAATTATACATGAGCTTCAATGAAGACAGAACAGCATTCATTTGAGAGTTTCATTTGTATGCCATTTGCTCAGATACTGAAATTATAAGTCTTCAATACATTGAGTTAAAGGAGGTGAGCTGTTCCCTCCTCAGTGATGCAGTATCTGTTTTTTAGTTGCCAGAAAGGCACAGACAATCCATGTGCATCAACCACAATGTAACTTCCAAGAAACATAGATGATTTCAAAGAACACATACATCAGAAATATGCAAGAATATTCCAATACAACCTTTATCTGTATTATAACTTCCTCCCAAAAAGTGGCAACTACTGGGTTTTGCCAAAGCTTATGATTAGGGGCACAGTGCTGTGTATGCGTGTTTAGGCAGAAAAGAGCCCTGCAGTTCCCAGCATTCTCCAGCGAACCATTCCTAGGGGTTGCAGGACGTTTCCTGTTTAAATGTGCACATGACTGCACCCTCAGATAAGGGTATCAGTATTAAAACTCCTGCAAAGCTTTACCAATGAGGCATTGAGGTTGGCCTCTGGGACCACCCGGCAAGCTCATGGATGAAGCGGAAACTGAGCCAAGGGTAGCTGCGGGATATTTTGGCCCAGGGGAGTCTCTTCTGGTGGGCATCCTTTCTTCAGTCTCTCAGGCAGAGCCCTTTCCATCAGTGCTCCCCAAACCCTTTTAAAGACGGGCGCCTGGGACAGAACCTGAGGCCTCTGCAAAGCTCCGCTCACCAAGCCACGGCCCTCCCGACCTCTAAATGTTTGCTGCTTTATATTACAGCTTACGTTTATCAGACAAGCCACGCCAGGTTTTGAAATATCTGCAGAACGTCTGTCCACCCGTTCTGCCACCCCCTCGCACATGCTGCCCCTGCGACGAGCGCCAGGGTGGGGAGAGCTCCGCCCGCAGCACTTCTCGCGCTTGGTGGAGCAACATTGGTGCAGGTGCACTAACTGGTGGGATCCTGACTCTGGGATCCACTGAAGCTGCAAGGCAACATGCCAACTGCTGCTTTTGGAGGCCTTTAAGGGTGCAGACTCGTGGCCCATGCCTCCAGGCATCCGAGCCTCCAAACCTATGAGGTGTGGCAGCGACAGTCCCTGCCACCACTGCACCTTGTGCCAGGTACTTTCGCCAGAGGCCATCTGCAGCCTTCTCTACAAGGAGAGTGACGGAGGCTGGGATCCCTGCAGGAATCGGCCAAAGACCTCATGCCACCCCCTTCCTTCTGGCGTAATGAAGGCTCCTAGGCCTTGTAATACTGCAAGCTTCCAATTCCTTTTCAGGGCCCAGGTGCCAAGGTAGCACAGATTTCCATCATTGTGTTGCAATATTGGCTGCAGCTCTGGATTCTGATGTCGCTATTTGGGTGGCCCTCATTCTTAATGGCTTTGCTTGAGTGCACTCACCAACGTGTGTGATGCTTGTCTATTACTGGCCACCCCGAGAGGCCTTGAAAGGCAAACACCCAGTTCTAAGCTGGAGGAAGGGGTCTTTCATCCAGTGCACGTTGTCCTGGGAGCAAGCTGCACTGGGCACAGTGGGGCTGAGCGTGAATGGATCGTCCCACGGTGTTTATCCTGCTTCCGATTCTAGACAAGGGTCCCGTGGAAGCAGGAGGAAGAGAGGAAGAGCTCTGCTGCTCCCTCTGGGGAGGATGATGGGGGAGCCGGTTGGGCACCGTCTGGTGGCACATGGGTCCCTTACTTTATACAGACGTTGGGCGTCCAGTGGGGGCTACAATATGTGTTCCGCTTTGCAGGAGCATCCCTTGGCATTGTGACAGCCAGCATGCAGGCGACCACGGGCAGTAACCAGGGCACGCAGAGAGCCACCCTGGTGGGCGCTACGATCGCTGCAACAGCTGCTGGTCTCTTCCTCGTCCTACTGCTGCTGGGAATCGTCCTTCTTCGCAGGAAAGGGACGTTAAGGTAACCAGACCTCACATTCCCGCACGATGCTCTTCCTCAGGCTTCCTCCCCGCCTCCCTAGACCCTTCGCCAGCTTGGCACCCTCCAGACGTTTTGGGCTGTGACTTGGTTGCCTAGCTCTTCAAGGGCACCGAGTTAGGACGGACTGACTTAGACTGAACTGAGGGACCCTCACCCTGTAGGGCTGCATGGCTTTTTTTTTCCTGGATAAGAGACATCCCAGCTCAGAATCATCCAGGTCGTTGCCAGAGACACAACGCGTGCAGCATCTCCTTTCCCTCTCAGAACAGATAATGCGTCACCTCTGAGATTGCACTGAATGTGCTGGAGGTGGTATGTGAATGGACTGAGAGCGCTTGCCGGGTGGTTGCCCCGTGCCCTGCCAGGATCGCCCAGCTGCCGCTCGCCTTTCTACCATCCCGGTTGAGCCCTGTGAGCACGTGCTGCAAAGATCTAGGAGGTTCAGTGGCTGGTTATGGCGTTTGCATGCCTCTGGCAAGCTTCCAGAAGAAGCCCCAAAGGCCCTGTCCGTGGATGCTCAAGGGTACACTCGGTTCTCTGTGTTCCACCAGCTGGCAAACCAGTGCTCCATTCCTGATGTGCTTGGGTTGTTTCTCTTCATTACTGTTAGTCTTTTTTCCCCTACTAGGCAGCAAAGCTCCTGGGCTCTCTTGTTTTCCTTGCTCATGTCAAGCTGATTAGCATTTCCTAGCAATAAAACAGTAGCTTTGTTTAATTTCCAGAAACCCCCCGCCAAACGTCCATTGCTGATAACACACTGTGCATTTCCCCAGCTGGGCATTCCTTTGAAACAAATTTCTTTCTCTTAATTATTTGTACTTTTTCTTAGTGAAGGGGGGTTTGGGGGAAAACTAGGGTATATTTTTTAAAAGAAGGATTGGAATAACCAAAAAACAAATTTAATTATGCATCACAATTCTATACTGCCCATTAAAGGAAACTCTCTTGGGGGCCCCCAAAACAAATTCAAAAGCATGAAATGCAATATCATAGCCAAAACATAATATAAAAACCATAAGTTTAAAATCAAACCAAACCAAAGAAGAAACAAAGATAAAAGCTAGCAGCAGTGCAAAGATCTAGACATAATTTTTAAAACAGAAGGGCTAAGCTGAAGATAGTCTTAACCTGGTGTCCCAGAGACCAGAATATAGGTACCAGGCAGTTCTCCCTGGATAGGGAATGCCACTGCCACAGAGTCCTGCTCCTTAGCAGCCACCTACCTCCTCTAGCGGAGGCACCAGGGAAAGGCCTCTGCTGACAACCTGAACATCTGAGCAGGTATAGGAGGTCCAGAAAATTCCAGTGCAGCCCTTCCAGTGACCTGGCTCCAAGCCCTGTAGGCCGCTGTTGATTAATCCTAGCTCTTCGAATTGGGCCCAGGGATGGACTGGCATCCAGCACAGATCATGAAGTACAAGTGTCATATGCCCACATCAGCCAGTCCCTCTTAAACACCTCATTGCCCTGCTTTAGACCAAGTTTCTGGACTCGTTTTGATGGCAGCCCCACACAGAATGCCCTGCAGTTATCCAAATGAAAGTTGACCAGAGCATGAATGGCTGCAGCTGTACTCTCTCCATCTGGTTCAGATACACCAGCCTAAGCTGATGAAAGGTACTCCATCCCACTGAGGCCTCCATGACAGTGCTGGATCACGGAGCATTGTCCAAAACAGAAGCCTGATCTTTTCAGGGGAAGACAGCCTCCTCCAGGACTTGAGTATCACTCACGTGGAGAGACCACCCACCCACTAGCAGTACTCCACCTTCTCTGGACTGAGAATCAGTTTATTGTACCTCTGCCGGCCTGCTCCTGCACCCGCACCACAATTCAGAACGTTCAGATTGCAGAAGCACCAGCAAAGGGCATCAAAAGACCTTAGCGTAAACAGTCAGGGATGAACGTGAGAAGATGAGCGTGTTCCCAACATGCAGTATAGACAAGTGGTACGGAAAGTTAAAATAAAAATAATAGCAAGAGCTCAATCCCTTTTGCCTTTAGCTGTGTAGCAAAAATGCTACCAAGCACAATCAGTTGATTTTTGATGACCAAGGACGGGGCCTTCTCCATGGGGTTCCTCAGCTGCAGAGCACTTTCTCTAGGAAAGGCAGCTGCACCAATGCCTTTCAATTGCCAGGCGAAGACTTTTAATTCCCCCAGGTTTTCAGTCTCCCCTTTCTTGTGAGAGTAGTATTGCAATCACTGCTGTTGATTTTCCACCACAGACCTTTCCCCTTGGCATATCTTGCGTCCTTGTGGAACCAAAAAAGGGACCTGGAACCTTCAGGAGACTTACCTGACAAAGGATTTGATAACCCGATATTTGACACACCTTCCAGTCCAGAGGTAAGGATCCCACTTTTGCATCTCTGTTTCAGGACCAAGCCACACACTAACATACTTCAAGCATTAATTAAACTTGTACAGTTTTTGTGTTTTGTTTGCCCTTTGTTTTGCTAAATAGCATCCATCTAGGGGGAAGAGATTTAGCCTTTTGCCCCTGCTGTAGTATTTGGCGGGGGCCCTGAAGCAAAGACAAAAACAAGCCAAAAATTGATAGCCATGTGCTCCACATATTGCATGGCCTGACCCTTTGAATAAAGCTGGGGTAAGACAACGGCTTTATGCGGCATACGCAGCTTTGCATCCATAGTACAGCTCTGCAGAAATGCATTGTAAGTGAGGAGCTCAGCTTTGGCTTGTGGAGAGCAAGCGAACAGCCCCAAGCATTGCTTGGTGCAGTGTAAATGCTTCGTTGACAGTATGAATTCATCTCAGCCTATAAGATCTACTTTTATTTAAGATCTAAAATTACACACACACACACACCCCAACTCAACAAACCCTATTAAACACTTTGATCTCTCCCTTCTAGGCTTTAGCTGACATGTACTGTGTGGAAGGAAAACTGGAGGAGATGGAGAGCAAACAGAGCCAGCTTTATTACATGAATCCCTTATATGACGAAACAGAACTTAGTGCTTAAAGTCAAAATTAAGTTTTCCTAACCATGCAGTGTGACTTCAGTAGACTCAAGTTGCCAGGAAGAGAACTCAACTGGGCTTAAGCATGGTTCAGATGGATCTGTGCATTGGTGCAAAAGAAATTCCAGGTGAATGGCACTTTGTATTCTCTTGCAACTAATTGGCTTAAACTTTTAGTTAATTTTGCAAGAAGAACATATAACCAACTACTGGATGGTGTCCATGGATATGTTGCAGTGTGCCAAGCCATTTGTCATGAATGGTACTATTCGATTTCCTATCACAATAAAGCATCTATCATTTATTATAGAAAGTGTCACTGTATCATTTGTGCATATTTGTTCTGTCACTTAATCAGCCATGATGCTGCCAAAGTTCAGAACCTGTGATTTCAGTGGGAGTAGTTACATGCTTAAACTTTACTATTGAAATCAGTGGGAGTATTGAAAGTAGGGTAAAAAGATTGGCCCTGTTTCTACCATTACCCAATGTTTGGAAGCATAAGTTCATTCCACCATATTTCTATATTATTGCATTTTTGCCCAAAATTCCAACCAACCATTTGTATATATTTTGTATGCATTTTGCACAAGCACCTTCTGTGGGCAATTGCTCCTAGTATGTGCATTTTTTGATTGAAGACTTGCATCACAAAATTGAGCAGGTGTGGAAACCAATCCATTCCAGTTCGTGTATCAGATTGGGAAATGTGAATTAGTGCATATTGCAACTGAGTCATGCCCAAGTGCTTTAAATCAGAATTTAGGAAGTCATGGAGTCAGTCCATTTAGAATGTTTAAATTCTTTTTTTCCTGTTTCAGCCTGAATTCCTGTTGCAGGGCTAAGTGTGTGGGTTTTCTGAACTGTTGAGGTGAACACGAGACAGGCTGTGTGGCCACTTCCTGAATCATGTTCCCAGAAGTTAGAAAGGCACCTTGAAAAAGGAAAGCCACAGAAGTTCAGCCACGGTCTTTGCAGAAGCCTCGAAAACTTGCCTATTTTCCTTGGAGTGCTTGCCTCAGCATCCAAGAAGCTGTATACTCAAACAGGCGGTGATTTGTGTGCTCGAAGAAGTGCTCTGGCACAGATATGTTTCAATGTCATTTGACGTTCCTCTGGCCACTCTGATGCAGATTATCTAGGCAGAATGCTAAGCAAGTGCACCCTTTCTTCTGTCTTCCACTTAAACACCTGGAATGCTCAGATTTCTCTTTTCATCTTATCAGAACCTGACATTTGGTCTTGTCACTTCTTCAGGATTTTCCAAGTGGTTTCCTGATATCCTAAAAATAATTCCTTGCTAGCACAAGGAGAAGGCAATGAGAATATGAAAAGATGACGCTTAGTTTTGTGCAGATTTCAAATTGGTGGGCTTGCCTGTGTGAATTTGAAATATACTTCTCTACAACCAGCATATAAATGTGTGAATGGTGTCAACTGATAGTTATCTTGCATGGGATATTTATTTAATTTTCAATCCCTTCTTTCTTCCATGATGAAACTCAGTGGGGTTCACCCTCATCCTCCTGTGATGAAGTTTAATTTGAGAACACACAAACCAGGGAGGCTGGAGAAGCCTATGTCAGCGGGGCTCTTGATGCTTTGCAGCCACCCATTCAGCTGTATGGGCGCTGTCCATGGTGCTTATCCATCCCTAACACAAGCTCACCACAGAAGATCACGGACAGCTCCTACAAACTTGCTAGTGTTGCTTCCCTGCATTGTCCCCACTTGCTTGTGCCAGAGTCTGGGATGAGGATGTGGGCAGCCAGAGACAAGACAAGAGCAACAAAACTGCAGGAAAGTCAGAGTCCAAAAGTAGAAAGGCCAGCTCATAGTCATGCTCCAGACTGAGGTCAGGAACCTGAAAAAGGCATGAGGGCAGAACAAGGATGTGGTCTGGAACAAGCCAGGGTTTGAGGACCAGGACAAACAGAGGTGCAGGTACTTTGGGCAGGAGAGCAGGCCGAGGGGCATGGCGAGGCAGGATGCACGGAAGGACAAGATGTTCTGCAAGGCAAGACAGATGAAACAGGTACCAGATGCAGCAAGGCTCAGGCAAGAGCAGGAGCTGAACCGCAGCTCCCAGACAGCCCTGCGTTGCTGAGGCAATATGGCAAGGCAGGCCACATGGGCAAGGTGAGGTGGGCACTACAGCAAGGCGGCTTGGCAAGGTAGGAGACCCAGCAGGACCCGCCACGCAAGGTGTGGGCATCGCAGCCACGAGCAGACCTGCACTGCTGAGGCCGGTTCTGGAGTGAAGCACTCGCTTTTATATGGCTTCTCCCCCGGGACTCCCAGGTGGTGTCATCAGTAGACTGAGAGCTCCAGCAGAGCCTGGGACCGACCCTGCAAGTAGGAGGGTGGTTTTGGCCACCTGAGCAACCCAGTTTGCTTGCTTGAAAGGCAGCCAGCAGGTGGACCAATAGGGCATGGCACTCTCTGCTCTGGATCTGAGTGGGAGCAAGTTGGAGCAGCAGCTCCAGGGGCCCTTGTTGGGCAGAGGGTACTTCCAGAGTGCAGCCCTCAGCAGGTGGTGACCACACCTGTCTGGATGCCAGTCCTGGTTGTGCAAATAATACAGAGTGGAATGGGCAGGTGCAAAGCACTCTGCATGTGTGTAAGAGACAGAGTAAAGGAGAATGACTCTTCCCTGCTTTTGTCACAAGAGTGTGGTAGGATACACTAGTGCACACCTTCCTGCATTATTCTACCAATATTCCTCCCACTGAGAAGACTCCCCTGCTGTACCTGCCCTGTATGTGACTCACCACAAAAGACAGGAAAACGTTTGGGGCTCCTGGGTTTCAGCAGATTGCATTGTGAAAACACCTTTGGCTTCACAGCAAAGACACGCAGCTCGTTTCTAAGCTAGGCATTTCTTTAAAAACCTTCGTGTTAAAAGGCCAGCTCCTGAAGCTTCTATGACTGCAAAAACAGATGGTTATGTATACACATTTGCACTTCATGGATGGGGGCCTACCGGAAGGTAAGCTACAGTGAGGTAATAGCAAAGTGATTTTTGTTTGTTTAAATTTTAGTTTAGTGGCTGGGAGCCCTCTTCCTTTGCACAGACTTTGGAACTCATTTTGACATATATTACAAGCACTGCCAAAATGTGACAGCTACTCTATAGCATTTAAAAGCATTACACACCTGTCTCCAAAATAATGGCTCACTGGAGATGTTCAAATGAAAATGGAATTTGTCTTCCCATATGTTTCCTGCCCAATCAAATGTATCTCCCATCCCTTCCACAACTGTGGGCATACTGGTTTACTGCCACAAATGGGGCCAGGAGAGACACAAATGAAGTCATTCTTTCCCATGACCTTGAGGAAAGGTTTTAGAAATAGAATCATAGACTTGGAAGGGGACCTCTGCAGTTGTCTGGTCCAACAGCTGGCAGGAAGTCTCTGCAGCAGCCCTGCAAAATGTCTGTCCAGCCTTTGCTTAGAGATGCTAAGAATCCTTCAGTTTCTGCAGCATCCCATTCCACCACTGGATAACTTGTACCATGAGAAAACTCTTCCCCGTGTTGCATTTCCTTATCCCTTCCTTATACATTCCTCTCTCTTGGCCCAGCTGGTTTGAGTTCTCCCCTCAAGAGCAACAGAAAATGCTTCATCACCTATGTGACAGATCTCCAAAGATTTGAAGATGGCTCACCCACCCCTTCATTCTCTTCTCCTTTGCAGGTTAAACATACCAACCACCTTCAGTCCTCCTATGACTTGTCCTCTGCATCCTCCACCATCTTCATGGTTCCTCCCTTTGCAGTTTGCTTAGATCCCTCTTAAACTGCAGTATCCACCACTGGATGCATTTTTATGGATTTCTGTAGCTTCTCTCATTCAATCCCAGGCATTTCCTGTTCAAAGGATCTCCTTTAAAGCAATGATGAAGCATTTCTGAGCAACAGCTCAGTCACAGCCTGCCAGGTCTCTCTGTCTGGCTCCCTGAGGCTGGACTGAGTTGCGTCCCCAAAACCCTCACCCCAGCAAGGGATGTGAGAGGGAAGCCAGCTTTTTTTGGGAACCTCTGTTGCAAGGAAGCAGTGAAGGAGAAGCCTTGAGGCAAAAGAGCCTTCGGCTTTCAACAGCACCTCAACAGTTCTTCTTTCAACTGCACCTCAATGGCCCAGGTAGGGGCTGCAGATGAAGCTGCCCCTTCTTGGCTGCAGCTCCATGGTTTACTTAGTTACGGGTGAAAAAGAGCATGCTGAATCTCTGAGCTGCACAGTGAGAACGGGCCCCTTTCCTCACCATGCAGCACAGACAGAAGCAGTGTAACCCACTGAGAACGAAAGAGGCTGCTTGCCTCCTCTGGGGACCGTCTGGAGCAGTTCTGTGCTGCATGGGAAGCAGGCGCCCAGCTTGGAAGACATGGGCATGCCGGGGAAACAGTATGTGGAGGAGTGCGGCGCCTCCCCTGCTGTGCGACTCCCAGCCCCCTTCCCCTGAAGGAACGCAGCCCTCAGAGAGAGAGGCAGGCAGGAAGCAGATCTCGAGATGCCTTGGACATCAACTCCCACCAGCCCCAGCCTGCATGGGGAATGGCTGGGACTGCTGGAAGTTGAAGTCCAAAACATCTGGATAGCACCAGCCTGGGGAGAGCTGCACTGGAGAGGTGCTGCCGGTCAGAGCAAACAGAACTGGGCTGGAGGGGCCAGTGCCCTTCCTCCGTATGTGCCAGTTGCATGTGTCCTGGCCTATCGCCTTGCAGGCTCCCAGGTTCTGTACACGCCATGACTCGTGATGGCACAGCTCAAATGTGAGTGCACTGCAGGGCAGTTTTATAGCCCAAAAGGGCTCCCAGGACAGCTTACAGAGTTCTGTGGTAAGATTCTCCACGCCCTCAGGAATAAGTGTACCTGTTACGCTCTAATGCATACAGCATGAAAGGAAAAGGATTTGCGGGGGAGGAGGAAAAAGGCACACTCACAGGATTGTTGTAAAGATTGCAGCTAGATCATACTCTGATATGGACTAATTCAATAACCTCTATTCCATTCTAACGAGATAATATGAGTGATCAAAAAGCCCTTCGAGCACTTAAGCATGCCGCACAAAACCTGGCCATTATATTCTTTCTAGCTTGATGTCAGAAACAGCTTCACCTTGCACTGCAAGGCACAGGAGCCAAGTCGTTAAAAAGAAGCTGGCAACCTTTGCAGGGCCAGACTTTGGCTTCCCCTTGATCCTCCTGGCAAGGTTATTTCAAGGTTTGCCTCCTCCGTCCCCGCCTCCCCGTCGCCTCTTCCGTTCTGCAGCTTCATTCTACTCCTGCTGTCCTTTCTCTTGCAGTTGCAAGTCCCAGGGTCTGGTGGTGGGCGTGTGAGTCGGGGGCACCGTTGTCTTCCGAAGACGGCCCTGACTGAGGGCCAGAAAAAGAAGAGCCATAATTATAAGGATCGTTGCTCAGTTCAGCACCAAAACGCCGCTTCCCGGCCAGCTCCAGTGAGGGCGGGGAGCGCTCATATAAATGGATGAGCGCAAACTCTGCTCTGAGTCACAGGAGGATGTTTTGATCTCAGAGCAGCGCGCGCGAGGAAAACACGGCAAAATGCAGGGCGTGACGCGAAGGAGATGAAGAGGATGAGATAAATCAGCGCGGGGCGTGGCCCCTGGGCGCTGGGGAGTCCAGGGAGGATGAATCCTCGGTGCATTAGCCTCGGCGGAGAGAGCTCGTGGCCACACACTGAAAAGATTCTAATTAAGGCTGCATTCAATCCTGTCAGCCTGCCAGAAAAGCACATTCTGTTCCTTTCCAGCGGAAGGGACGGCCCGTCGCCCGGGAGCAGTTTCAGGGGCTAGGCTAGGAACTGTTCAGAGAGGAGCCAAGCTTGCGCAAGTGCCAGGGTTTGGGGGGGGGGCTGCAGCAGGGCAGCCCCCCCGGGGGCGCCCCCCCGCCTCGTGCCTCCCGCTCGCTCGCTCGCTCGCCCGCCCGCCCGCCCGAAGGCAGAGCCAGCCGGCGAGTCCGCAGTGGCGCCCGCCTGGAGCAGAGCAAGGAGGCACGAGGCGGGGGGCGCCCCAGGGCCCCGCCGCGCCCCCGCCAGGTGCGTGTCTCAGGCTGGGGCCGTGCTCAGGAGGGCGAGCTGGCCCTGCACGCCCCTCTCCCGCGACGCCTGCGCCGGCATCCCGGCCCGGGAGAGCGCCTCCACACCCGCCCACGTCTCCCAGGGGCTGAGCCGCCCGGGGCAGGCGGTTTCCCCCGCCGGAGGACGGGCTGTTCTCGCACAGCGCCGGATCGCGAAGACGCAGCGCTGCGAGCGCGCCGCGGCCGGGCGCAGCGGTGCTGGATGCCGCAGCCACCCCTCGCCCCCGGGGGGCCCTGCGCGGAGCCACGTGCCCGGAGCGCCGCCTCGGCAGAAGGAGCAACCCCCCCCCCCCAAAGTTCAAGTCCCCGGGACCCGCGCCGCTGCATTGCCCAGAAAACAAGGTTGCGTCCTTGAAAGAGCACCATTGCTATGGTGCAACTCTCCAGATCCAAAGAGCTTCTCTGGTGGTTTCACCCAGCAGCACCCCCAAGAATGCAATGCCCGGAGCGACGCTGCTGTGATCAGTATGGTCCTGAGTGCACTGACACAAGGGAAAACATTGCTTTGGTAATGAAGGGTTTGGAGCACCAGATGGCGAGCAGCTTCTTGTATTCAGTGGTCCCCCTTCTGGTTGAGTCTGTGTGCAACTTCCCAGGAAGCCCCCAAACAAGCCAGCAGACGATTATCAGATGGGAGAATCCATCAGTGCCAGTCCCAGGATTCAGAAAAGATAAAACTGAGGCTGTCACACTTTGGAAGGCAAGAGTCACTGGAGAAGACGGTAATGCTAGGGACCATCGAAGGCAGAAGATGAAATGGGAGACCAACTACAAGATGGATGGACCCCATAAAGGAAGCCACAGCCTTCTATTTGAAGCAGAAGTGGCGCACACAAGGTTCTCCAGGTGCTGATGGACTGCGACTCCCATCAGCTCCACCAGCGGGGAGGGACCATGCCTTGTGCTGCAGTGGCACGTGGTGGCCAAGGCTGCCACCTTGCAGGCCGAAGGTAACAGGACAGTGGTTCCAAAAGGGCTGCACCACATTTCTATCCCGCAAGCCTGTATAACCCTGGTCTCCATTTTATCCTTAGGCTGAGAGCCAGCCACTGGTCCAGTCAGTCAGGGAACCTCACGGCTTCCCTGCAGTCCCAGTCTAGCACTCTAACCATTACAACACACTGCCTCTCTCGTTCATGATCGCATACCTCTACGTTCTTGGGTGGGGATGCTTCTTCGGTTTAAAATCCGAGGTTAGTTGTCATTCATCTCCATCAGTGTGGTGAACTTACTGAGAACTATAGTCTTTCAAGTGTCTATTTGCTCAGAGACAACTTTCACTTTGTTCAGGAAAGTGCATCAAGTCCGAGAAGAGCCTGGTGCGAAAATGAATTCACAGCAGTCCCAGATTAATCACAACTGCTACCCAGCACTGACGCGACTTTTGAGGGTATGATGGAGAGGTGGCAAGTGGGCCCTGAAGTGCCAGAGCTAAAGCTAACAGAACAGTGCCGCACTTGGTCTATTTTAGACACCTTGCCCTCGTTGTGCCTGAGTCAATGTACAGCGCCGACTTGCAAGGATACCCCATTTCAGCAAGAGTTGCCTTCAAAGAACAAGATTAGCAAGTTGTGAGCTCCCGCCCATCCTCCAGCTGTTACTTGTTTCCACATGCTGCATTAAACTGGCAGTTTTCCAGCTACATACTGTCCCCAGGTTGAAGAGGAAAGGATAGTTTAAACTCCCTTCTCACTGTCATCTCAGTGCACTGCACTCATCTGGATTCTTCTGTGACTGCGATGCAACTTGGAACAAGTTGTGTGTGATTTGATGCTATGATCCACACAGTTCAAATTCTATCCTGCAGAGCAGTGGTGACGAGTCTGTTACAGCAAATTCGACCAAAAATCTTGTAGTACTTTATGGACAATCAGATTTACTGGAAGCTTTTGCAGGCGAGAACGTGCCTTAGGAGATGCAGGATGCTGTAATCTCTGAATCTAATTCTAGGCTCCCTGCCACCAAACCCCCCACTTATTTTTCTGGACTGCCTAAAATATACTGCAGCAAGTCAGTGAAAAAAGACCAAGTAGTTCTTAACAGCTGTTACAATTCCAGCACTGACTTCAACAGAGCATTAATTGCAAAAGAGGCATGAGAGTTGCTGGCAATGGCTCATAATGCCCCATTTACACTGCGGAAAAGGAAAGGTAAGTACCCTCTGAGTGTGTCTGTTTGGCTACATTAACTCTTTATCTGCTTAGAACTTCCGCCAGGCCACCTTTTGTATACCTTAGGATCTGCCTTCCATTGCACTGACTGGCCCTTGGCTCCGTGCCACAGGAAGCAAGTGAGAGAGACCACAGGCCGTTGCCACACTGCCTGCAAGGACTGAGAGATGGTGGCTAGCTGTGGCATCCAGGGCACCAAGTTTTCTCCCCTCGCTAGCAGCTGCCACTGCCTTTCTCCTCCTCTGAGTAGCCACTTAAGCCCTTTCAAATTAGAATGCATATGGTTTGCTTTTTCTTCTTTTTCTAGGGAGCAGAGTCCAATCATGTCTTGGGGCCTTTCACATGAAACGAGGGGGTTTGCACGCTTGCCTGGCCAAAGAAACAGGACCACTGGGAACTTTTTAAAACCTCCCTCTTCTGCTTTATTGAGAAGTAATTATTCAAAAATGTTCTCACAATTCAATAATTACAAAGACTTTAGACTTACATTAAAAAAAAGAGTAAAAACCAGAAAACCCCGAAAGCAGTAGTGTCCAGCTCAAACTGAGCTTAATTGATCAAGAATCGGAGACAGAGCGAGTGTGGTCAAACACTTAATGTAACAGGATTAAATGTTGACTAGAACCACTTGGTTTAAACTAGAGATAAGTGCACGTCCCATACAGTGTTTCAGGAAAGAGTATTAGCCATTGGTGTCGCATTAGCCCACAGAAACCAGATTTTAAAACAACCGACATCCAACCGTCATCAAATTGGCACAGAAGGCACAACGAGTGTGACAGTGACAAACTGGATATGCCAGCCACAGAATTAATTACACGCTTTTAAATGAAACATGATCACGATTTTTTTGTGGGGGCAGGGAGAATTACTAAATGTATAGTACATGGAAGCATGAGATTAAATATCCACGGAATATGTCACCGCTGCACACGGGCCGTAGCAAAATACAGGACTGTGCTGTGCATTTCTTCCCCTGCATGATCAATACTTTTGATTAGCAATCATGGGGTTCTTCATGCAGGTAAGGATACAATGAACAGGGGAAGGAAGGAAAAAAGACAATGAGGTTTCCTCATACACACATCCTTCAATGTTTCCACTTTGGTTACCAGTAATAATGGACCGATGGTTTAAGTATTAACACAACCCCTTCGTACAAGCAGCTACTTCTTTAATGTAGTGTATATTTTACACTGACCCCCCTCCCCCACAAGAGAAATTACAAGAATGTCTGAGAAGATGGATAGCAGGAAAAACAGAGTAAAACTGGTTTTACAGCAGTATTTTACTTAGGTTTCTTTAAAAAAAGCCCTGCCCTGGCTAACAAGGTCTAAAAAAGCAGGGAATGGATAAAATGTTACTGTTACTAGTTTTATGTACATGACTAAAAAGTCAGGAGAAAGAAATTTACAAAGCTGAGAATGTATGTAAAGGCTAAATAAGTTAAAAGGCCACAAACTAGAACATCAGTTTTCAACTTCCTGAAATATTCTACTGTTGTTGGGAATGGCCTTACAGCTTTCTATCATTCTCCTAAACTCTGGAAAAACAAAACAAACAGAATATATTCAGAATATATTTAGCCAAGGATGTAACTAGTCTGCTTTTACTTCCCACCCAAAAGTCTGATCTTTCTGCTAGAAGGATTTCCTATTAGGGAGACAAAACACCACCCTATAGAAAAACAACATTCCTGACACTGTATAGTAGTAAAAACCACCGGCATCTCTGCTCTATTTTTTTCCAGCGCAAGTATGCAGACTGTTCACCGGTAGCCTTTAGGGTCTGCCACAGGAGTATCACTGTCATGTAGAAATGAATCCATTGCAGCTTTAAGAATGAATAGTTTTGCATTTTAAAAAAATCCCACAACTTGATCACCATAGAAGTGAAGAACTCTTTCATCCTTTTTAAAGCCTCCCACCCCCAAATCTACAATCTAGATATACAATTTACTTTTGTGCAACACTAGAAATCCAGTATCAGTCTTGGCACAGTTGCTCAAGAGAGACGTCCTGCTCTTGAATACTCCACAGAGTAGTAGATGATCCCGAATGAGAAAGTGGGGAGGGGGAGCTGTAGTGTTATGCGTCACAGGTGGACTGGTCCAATCCGTCTAGTGAAAGCTGATTCCTATGCGGAGAGTTGGGACTTGGAGGGCCACTTGGGTTAGAGCTGTTGGAAGGAGTAGAGTGTTTGGTAGAATCCGAATCAGGCTGTGAAAAAGAAAAACAGCGCAATGATATTTCCTGGACACCCTACATTTTAAGCTCCTAGAACACGGTGATGTATCTGATTGGAAGGATGTAAGCACCACAGCAATTGCAAGGGCACCTGAAAAAGCAGCACCTCCAATCCTATACACCCCTAATACCCGCCCCCCCCCCCGGAACAATTTGACTAGCGTTTCAAAAAAGTATCCAAGCTTGTCATGTAACAGATAAGGGATCAAACAGGCCCTCACAACCGAAGCCATTACAGACAAACCTTTGTAGGTAAAAGACCAAAACCTTATGCAAACTGATTTTTTCCTAATCCCCCACCCACACCATCTGTCCCCCACTGACAATTTATCAGCTCTGCAATGTTGGTTCTGCTCCATGCAACTATATGTTGGCTATACAACTCAGGTACTCAGTGTTTTATGTCTAAGAGCACAGAGTGTGCTGAAGCTGGGGCAGCCCTACTGCTCAGGCCACATGCAACTACACGCCACCATGAGCGAGGTTCTGAAGACATCCTGTAGCTGCCTAACAAGCTTAGAAATATATGCCTATGATTGTTCCCCAGCTGCCTTACTGCTGCCAGAAAATCTTTCTCAGGGGTCCCCAGTGGTATTTATTAAAAATATTCTATTTTTTAAAAATTATACATAAATGGGTGTACATTTCTAGCAACTATGCATAGGTGTCAACAAACATGGTGCCAAGCAGATATCCATTTGACATTGGCATCTGTATCCCAGAAGTTCGTATACTGAAAATACCATAAAGTTCTTAATGCACCACATTGTAAGAAGCCACTGTTTATCCTATCATTTCCATAATATCAATCTATCAGTTGTCAAAAGGATTAAAAGAATAAATTTCTCTTTCTACTTATTCATTTCCATGAAGCAGGTATATAATTTAAAAGAGTATATAAACCAGTGAATATTAAAGACTGTTTCAGTACAAAATTTATCTTTATAATTACTACCTCCCAAAAAGAAGAAACTCCTGGACATTGTCAAAGCATATGCTGAATAAAATGCAGCGTAATATCCATAGTCTTGACAGGCAGACACTGAAGTGGCCATCCACTGATCTTATGGGCTGCCAACAACAGTTTCTCAAATTTTCAAATGCACCCACAGGCCCCCAAAATGTGGGGAGATGTGACCTATGTGGTGCCATCTCTTCCTTCCAACTCCTCCCCATAATTCATTTTTCCTAGAAAGACTCTGGCTTTATTCCAGAATTCATTTTTACGACATTTCTATGCTACTCCGCATCTACACAGATTCCAGAGCAGTGAACAATAAATAGAAGACAGAAGGATAGAAAGACTAGAACAGAGTATCAATAAAAACTGTGGCTCGTTAGCAAGGAAGCCCTCCTGAAATAAAGGTATCTTCAGGAGGCACCAGAAACACCATGCTGTTGGTGCCAGTCTGACCTGCAGAGGCAGAGAGCGCCAGAAAGGGGGTCCCACACTGAGGGCTCTTTTCCAGGTAGACTCCAGTCAGGCCATATGCCTCAGAGTCACAGAATAGTAGAGTTGGAAGGGGCTAGAAGGCCATCAGGTCCAGCCCCCTGCTGCTGCAGGACACTAAGTTACACCAGGGACATGCCATTTGATGACCTCAGTGACCAGGTAGGTTGGTCAGGGAGCTTCCTCTTAGGTATCCTGGACCCAAGATATCTAGGTCTTTGTACGCTAGTATCAAAACATTACACCTGACTGGACAGCAAATAGGTGGAATGTGCCGCTTCCTCAACAAACGATCTGCATTCTTACCACCCAGAGATCTTAACCTTACTGTCCTTGCTGCTTTCCTTCTCTCCTTTCCCTCTGTTGAAATACAAAGTTTGAGATTTTGGAGGCAGTCACTTTTTTTCTAAAGTCATTTTTTTCTATAATGTATCGCATACATTAATGGCACTACATAAATGAACAGTAATCTGAAAAACTACACAGTCCACAGGCTTTTTATGCACTTAGGATTACTCATTTGTCTACAGGCCAACTCGTGTACAAATTGTCCACTTGGTCCAACCTGCAAACCACAAAAGCAAAACAGCTAACTAATCAAACCAAGTGAGTTCTCACACAGGTTTTATCTGTACCTGGACAGGAGGCCACAGAATCCTTCATGGACTTGTTTTGCCAACATCCAGAATTCTGGTGCAGAGAATGGAGAGAGACCAGCTTTTGAGACCAGTTCTATCTGCCCTAACGAACTGTGTCTCAAAACAGCATGCAGATGTCTTTCCCTGAGATTCTCTTTGACTGGGAAAAGCCACTGACTGACTACGAATCTTTTGCATTTTCTCTGTCACTGACCTGTGCATTCTTACTGATTAAAGTTGTTATCCCAAGTGCATTATCATGCTCAGGCTGGCTGAGTTAACATGCTCAAGACTGTGTTATAAAGGTCAAAATATACAGGACAGATAGTTGTGTAGCTCCCCTGTTGGGAAAAAGATTGTAATAGCTTTCCCATCATAGTATTTGTCTCCTTGAGATTTCTTCCAAGTTGTTTTCTTCCACATGCATCTTATCCCTACCACCTTATTCTGGGCATTTTATCCCCAGGTTGGACCACAGATGTAGTGCAGGATGGAAAAGTTTTAAAAGCAGTATCTCCACTGCTCTTCCCACTCTTGTTTGCAGCTTAGGAATTGTGCTTTTTATTAGCTAGCTAGCTAGCTAGCTAGCAAGCAAACGAAAGGAGCACTCCATTGTGCACCAAGCATACTTTGGACCTCAAGCCTGATGGAAAAGCAAAGTCAAAAGTCATCTGTCAGACACATTATGGACTTGTTCACTGATTGCTCATGTGACAGTCCTGACAACCCAAGTGCTGAAGATTTCTGACGGCAATGCAAAAACAGTCAAATGCTGTCAGGGACACTAAAACACATTCCCAAAATGAAGTATTAGCTGGACAGTCAGTGAGGAGCTTCTGCTGACTGCTGGTATTTGGTGTGCGGCCCTTCCCTTTTCTCTCAGCCGGCTGCTTGGACAGTTTCCCAGTGTTTTGGAATGCAGCGAACTCTTCACAATGTACAACTTCACAGCAGAACTGCTACTGTGGCAGTCAATTTAATTGGGGAAGGAAGAATTTATATTTAGCTCACAGATTAAAAGGCGATATCTCAGGGAGAAATGGTTGACAAGATCTTCCTGTGGGTGTAAACAGCAAGTTTGTCTAACCCAATTATTTAGACAAGATCAGCCAGGGAGAGAGTTCTGATAAGGCAACAGGCCATGGAGCTGAACTACCTGGAGTTTGATAAGTTATCTATAAACAAACATACACAAATCTGAGTATATTAAATGAAAGCCAGCATAACACCTGGCAGGTATGGGGAGTTGCTGGGCAATCCTCAACAACACCTCCATGGCAAACCTGTTTCTTGTGGAGTCCCATAATGGTGACACTCCCCCTGGTCTTTCTGCAGATCTGTGCTGTTTGCTGTCTTCATGGGGCAAAATCAACACAGAGGCAGTTTCTATGAACAAAACTACATAATGTCAGGCTGGGAACCAATTGCAGTGATTGGCATCTCAGATCCAGGTTTCTGGAGTGTTGGGAATGCTGGGACCAGGCATTCTGCTTATGCAGCAAGGGGCACACACAACACAATAATTGCCATGCTCATAGGAGGGGCCTTCCTGTATGACAATCTGGGGCCAAAAGGTACATACAGTTAGTTCTCACCTCTTTGTCAAACTCCTGGTCTGGATCAGACATACTTCGTAAAGGCATGGCTGCTCCTAGGTCACTGCCACCTGCAAGGCAGAGATATTTGAGACTCTCTCCTGTGAAAGGATTATAAAACTATGGCCTATGAATAGGTCTGTTTCTATCCTTACTTGAAGATGGCCACGAAATGTAGCTTTTGTTTCTCTGAGGAGCTTGGCGTGAAACGCTGCTTGTGGGAGGACAGGCCTTTTCATCTTGTGATGAAGGTACAATGCCCTGCTGCAGAAATGTAGACACAGCCGATTAGACAAAAACACTTTCAGCACAAGTTTCTTTTCTCTGAAGCTCCTAGCACAGGTTTGAAGAACACTTTAAAAAGAAGTATTCTGGTATTCAGTGTGGTTTATATGGTGTCATTTTTATAAAGTTACTTCACTTGACTAATGAGAACCCATGTGACACAAAACTATGTCATTTGAAGAAATCAACAAAGTCCTGGTTCATCCACTTGATCCCACAAAAGAGCAAATGGAAAATTGAGGAGTCAGGCAGATTTCCTTCCAGCAGCTCAAGGCAGAATAACTAAACCCAATGACATCCAAGTCTGCATAAATGAGTCATATGAACTACCTTTTTTGTTTTATAAGCTTTCCCCCTCTCTACAGGTGAATATATAGCCAAAGGTACAACACAGCGGCTGTTTGCAAAGGTGGCCAAAACAAGCCCATGGGCTAGCCCAGGACTGCCTCGGTTTGGATGCTGCTGCAAGTCACAGGGGTTTGTTTCAGCTGCCACGATCATGCAAACTGGGTCACTATCTTCTTTTAGGTTTGATAAAAGAATTTTATTTTATACGTTTGTATTTCTGCTAAAAAAACCAACAACCCACCTAGAGAATTTGACTCAATCCGGTTGATTTCGGATACTTACTGATATTACCAATGTATTATGAGGGTTGGATATTCTACAGGATCAGTAATGAAGTCTGACTGCAGATCATGCCCCCTATGTTTTCTCAGTTATAAACATCTGAGAATGGTCTCTTTTTCAATTAAGCTATATTGGATGTGATGAAAGATTGGCAGTTATGGTATGATGAAAACGTTTAGGGTGTTCTCCAATGAGCTTTCCTTCTGGCTCCTGCTGTTGGAAGGATACATACATACTTATCCTACCCTGAAATGGGGTTACTGCAGAATACTACTGCTTAGATTGAGGAGTGATGACCTGCTGTCTCGAGCGCAAAATTCTGGACAGAAAGCACAAGCTTATGCACACAGAGGGAAGTCATTCCTGCAAGTGTTAGTCTCACAACTCTCCCTGGATGCTTGCTATAATGGTGCCAGGTTGGCCCAATGCAGGACATCACCATCCACTGCAGTTCCCTTGCTACAGAAGCAGAGGAGGGACATGAGGCAGAGAAAGGCAGTGAGGAAGAAGGGTCACTCTGGAGAAAGATTTTAAGCAGAGATAGGGCTCATGTGATAGACATGCTCAAAGCGGGCTGGAGGTGGTATCAGAGCAGAGTGTCAGAAGGATGAAGGGGAAGGACATTCATTCTGTTATTTCAGACAAGACAAACAAGAAAAAGGAAGGAGGGAATAACAGTTATTTAGACAAAACTATCACACTCCTGACAGTGATGCTTGCTGGTTTTCAGCATTCTGTGTGGTGTGGTGGCATTCTTGAAACAGCTTTTACAGGGCCTGCGCAGGTATTTCTCTTCCTCCTGCTCTAGAATTAGATTAGGTACACAGGATGTGCTTGCTTGCTTCCTCCCCTGCTTGCTTGGGACCGACTGTGATTCCAGGAGAACCATGAGATGATACATTTTGTTATTCAGGTCACCCCTTGATGAGGAGAGCTGGAAGTGGGGGAGATAGCATGGGAGACCAAAGCCTGCTGCTCATATCTTCTTGGAGACATTTGAGGCTAATTAAAGATTAAAATTGTCTCTTGGAAAGCGAACGGCGTTCTCTTCAAACTCTAAAGCCCTCTGCCAGCTTGTCCCACAAATGCAGTTGAACCGAAGCTTGCACAAACCCTTTCCCCAGGAACAAAAACTGTACCAATGGGAGATCCATGAGGACTTGCATTCCATCGCCTGGTCCCATATGAGCCACATGGTTGAAATTGGTTGGGTTAGAAATCATCCTGGATCTGAGCTCAGGGTCTCGGAGCATCTCTCTAAATCAACAAGGACATAAAATGTTGATTTTGCATAAGGAGATCTTCATTTGTACCAGTGGAATGAAAGAGAGAGAGAGACATACCGCCTTTGCTGTATTCTTTCCTCCTCAGGGACTTTAAAGACAAATCTTCTTTTGCTTCTAGTGCGAAGCATTTGTTTTTTGCTGTTGTCAGATGTTTCTGGCACAGTAAGTGTAGCTCCTGCAATTCACAATATATAGCGCAGTTATACAGACTAGCTTTCCTGAAAGGAAGAAGTCTCAAGCAGAAGGATTTCTTAATGGGTGATTTATACTCACTAAGTCTTTGCAAAGCCCAGTGCCACAGTGAACCACAAAAAGCAACCTAGCAATCTAAAGCAAATCTTTAGAATCTAATTGTTAAATCTAATTCTGCTAAATTTCTACATTTTAAACGTTCTTTTCTAGAACTCTTAAATGTCTGTAGAATTAGCATGTGTAGAACCTACATAGTTTGATACAGTTTTATATCAGGCAGCCCAAATCAAATCAAGTAATCATCTGCTTCTTAGCCACATAATTAGGAGAAAAGTGTATGTTCCCAATTTCTTGGTATGCAACTCCTTATGATACCAAAAATGGTGGATGATATAACTGACGTAAGTACAACTTAGTAAGTAAAAGCTGCCATTCATTGTTTATAAAAGAAAAAAGCACTGTTAATGTTTTACCTTTCTTTCCCTATTAAGCTTTCATGACATGACCAAAATACAATTAAGGCCTGGATGTTGAACTCCAGTTCTGCCAGTGAAAGGCAATTGCTTCCACAGCAGTACTTCCCCATCATCTCCTCCCTGATGCATAATTCTGTGCACCCTCCAAATTTCTCCAGTAGGTCCCTCTAAAACAGATCTGCTCAGCAAAGGAAGAGATGGACACTGGAGCAGTGGGAAGAGGACAGGGCAGTCCTATTCTGTCAGCAGTATCCTTTCACTGATGGAGCAACGATTCTTGGACCTGAACCCAAACCCAAGCAAGCAGGTGCCCTTGGTATAAGCCCCCTAACTACAACTGGCCTTACCCCCAAATCAGTGGAAGCTCTTGGTCAATCCACTGCTTAAAGCTTGCAAGCCTAATTTTACACAGCTATTTTTCTTCTGCTTTTCTTCCAACTCAGCACGGGAGACACTTATCACAGAAACGACTTAATGCAACCAAACAAGCACTCTTTGTTCTACCTCCCCGCTGACACCACTGCCCGTCCCCAAAACACCAACCTGAAATTTTGTTCTTGAAGTAGATTAGTCGAGGAGGTTCACAGTTAAGGAGATTCAGTGTGCCTGCCACATTTAGGGGTCTGATCTGTTACAGAGGCAAAGCAAGGGACTTAAAATTCATCTTCTACGCAGTCAACTAGTAAGCCATTACTGTTATCTTACTGGATGGGTGAGCACCTACCCTTCTTAAGCCGATAGTCTGTACCCATTCCATTGTGTTAACATTAAAAACATCCACACCATATTCACTGTAGACCGTTAAATAGAATGGATTGCAACCTAGAGAGAGCACACAGAATCTGTCATGGCTGCATACATTTGAGACACAATTGCACATCACAACTATTTATGTAATTGGCGTTTCTCAAGCCCACATGTATTTGAAAAGCACCTCTGAGACATGCTTCTGCAGATGCAGATCTTTGTCTGAGCTGTGTCTCTTTGGACTGCAGGGCCAGATCTCTGTCATGTAATGCTCCTCAAAGAAGGAGGGGCACAGAATCCTACGTGAAGCAGACTCTGAGAGAACACTTCTCCCCAACATCTAAGTTTTGTGTGTGTAGGAAACATTTTGCTCCCCCACTATTTGAAGAGGTATACCTTGACAAAATGTGCTACCTGAATAGGAACTAGATTAAGCCACTGTGAAGCAAGCTGCTTCCCCTCACCCAGAGGTTTGGTAATACTTAGTTAGTGCTTTGGATGGCCCATGTCTTTTCCCAGTCACCCTGGCCACTGATTTGCAAGACAGGTTATTATTCCATAGGAAAGACAAAAAACAGAGACTGAGGGGAGGTGCCTGGCTCAAAGCAATTGAGCAATTTCATGGGATTGGGTTCCAGCTCTCTTAGGCCCAATCGAACATGCCACCCAACTATCTATTAATGAGGCAGTCATTCTTTTGACATGCTCCAAGACTGCAAGGCTACAAAAAGTCAACACTATATTGTGGGATTCTTTAACATATGCAGAGCCCCTTGGCATGATTAGGTAACTCAGTTTTTTTAAGGGTGGGATGTCTAGAGGTGCATGGGAGTGATCGAGTATGCTTGCTCTTGCATGCTTCCACCTTCCTAATCTGCTTTGTTCCTATGTTGTGCTCCATGACATCCAAATGTGGGACTCTGGCTTGTGCTGAGAGGAACAATCCAGAGTTTTAATCCAAGGACAAAGCACTGGTTAAAACATTGGGTTGCTCCTCCCTCAAAACACAGGGTTCCAGATGTCAAGGGGAACAATTCTGGAACAGGGTAGTCCTGTGCTGTTTTGTGAAGCAGAAGTGGGAGAGCAGTCAGGAGTCCGCAGACTGAACCTGGTCCCAATCATTCCATGGTCAACAAATTAAGCAACAGGGTTATTTAATCATGGGGACCACATCAATGTTTGCAACATTTCAGTAATGACCAGGTTCAGTTGATGTGCCAGAGGTCACTATGGGTTATTTAACCCACTTCGAGCTACAGTACCACTGGTGCCAAACTGCATATGTAATCTCAGGTGTCACTGAGTGCAAACCTGGCAAAAGTGAGTCTGTGAACACCGAATGACCCTGGCAGAAGCCATGCTCTCTTTTAGGGTCAAAATGGTGGCCACATGTGTGTGACCAGGCCAAATGACACATCTAGCATGCACTACAGATTTAAGAAACAGCTAGCAGTCAAGAAAGCAAGCTATAGTACGTGTCTTCATTCAGGATTGTTCCTTTTCTTAAAACTGGCCATTTGTTCAAGCAGTCAGATATAACATTCTTTGGGAATAAGCACACATGCTCAAACTGCTTTGTATTTAAAAGATACCAGGATGAAAAAAGCAGTTGATAGAAGTCAATAGATGCTCCTGAAAAAAATTTCTCTATCTACATTGTTGTGAGGTAAAAAGACCATTCTCAGTGTAGGGAAATAATGTAAAAAAATGGCAGAAATGAGGAAAGTAGAATGGTGATGTCTATGGTCTCAGAAAAGAAGCAATATGAACTCTAGAATAGGTGGGTTTTCCAAAGAGAAGTATGGCACACTAAGGCTCTAGGTACTTATTTAAGAACTCTACTTTTAGAAGTTTAGGACAACCTAGTGGCCAACAGGGGACTAACTGGTTCTAATGCACAATGGTCCCTGCTCACTGTGCTATCAGGTTAAAAAATTTCATGTGTTGCATAAGAAGCAGGAAAACACAGCCTTGCCAAACCAATGGTCCAGCTGATCTAGAATTCTTTTGGTCAGCCTGATGGCAAAAGCCTTTGCAATTGTTTTATGTATCTGCCTGGTAGTCGCTGAGCCATAATGCTTTTGAGCATGAAGCTTCCAATCTAGCTGTCACAACTAACAGCTATTGGAGGAGCTGCTATTTTGATCAAGGACAGGCTTTGCTGGAGTCGGAGTACAGCCATCAGTGATGCGTTCACTGCAGGGGGAATTAACTGGCTCCTTACAGACAGCTAAACCTGCAGTAGCCCGTCATGCTTTTAAAAATCTTTCTATCTGCAATGGCAACGACAACAGCAACAACAAACAAGGAGACGTAAAGGGAAAAAATATATCATAGACCTATCAATACACCCTGATTATTTCCCATCATATGGGCAAGGAGAAAAAAGACACACAAAGGGGGTGAAGAATGATTTAGCACTTCAATTGCCTATAGCAAGAGAGACATTAATGATTATTGTTTACCAATATGTTTTATGACTGTAATTTCCTCATGCCCCTTTTTGATTCTTTTTTATTGTCATTTGTTTGTGTTGCAAATAAAGAAAAAAGGACAGGGTCATGTGCCTTAAATAGCTGCATGAGTGTTAGAAAGGTGAAGTGGGAAGAAGCTAATGTTAGCCTTACACAGAGTAGACCATAGGAATAATGGGAATTATGTTCTCTGTGACTAACTTCTTATTCATTTCAATGGGTTCACTCTATGTAGGACTAACCCAGAATTTCCCATTACTAGAAAAGGTACTGTTTTTGCATCTCTGTTTGTTATGCAACTGCCTAAGGTGCAGAAGCCTGCCAAATTAATTTTTAAAAGGTGGCTACCGACTTTCTGCTCTCCTTTGAAAGACATCTAAAACTAGCGGCCTTTACCTCATATTGTAGTGGTGAGTTCCACAAGTACCAGACCTAAATAATGGGTGCTCACTTTCTTAAACATTTCAGTATTTTTGACTGCTCAAATGTCTCCTGGCATCACTTACAACAAGCAAATGGCAGGAAACAGTAAGGAGCAAACCATGACAATGTTCCACAGAGGAGGTCATTGAGGTTACCCAAAAAGGAGGGGAACTGCCCCTTTGTGTTCTAGCACTATCAACCAATGCGACAGGTCAGGGATACAAATTCACACAGAAACCAGACCTCCTCTCCATCTTTTCACCCAAGACATTCTTGAAGTCCAGGATGCGCTTGCGGCTCACTTTGGGAGATGGAATTTACACTAAATTCAAGAGGAGCAGACTAAAGAAGGAATGATCCAAATGTGATGCAGAGAGATCCCATGAGAGGCTCTGTTCTCACAGTAAGTCCTCACTGGGCCAGGAGGCAACACACCTCCCAGGCCATCACCCATCAGAACCGAGATGAAGAGCTACCAGCTATTCTCCACCCTCCCCTTGCAAATGCCTTTGGCTCTATTTCAAGTGCTATAAATGGGAGCCAGTGTGGTACAGTGGTTAAGAGCACAGGTCTGGGACTCACAGAAACAGAGTGAGTCAGAAGGGGTCTCCCAGGCCATCTAGTCTGGCCCCTGGCTCCAGCGGGCTCCACTCATGACATGCCTCAGGTGTCCCCCATCACTGTGACTCAGGTGAGCTGGGTTCTAGTCCCCACTTGGCCATGGAGCCAACTGAGTGACTTTGGGCCAGTCGCAGGCTCGTAGTCCAACCTACCTCACTTCACATGTGCAGATATGATTGCAACCAGGAGGAGAATTAAGCCACTTTAAGTTTATTATAAGATAAAAGTGGGATAGAAATCAAATGAAGGAAGGAAGGAAGGAAGGAAGGAAGGAAGGAAGGAAGGAAGGAAGGAAGGCTCCCATGGAGTTTTGCTCTGTTCCTTTCCTTTGCCTTGGCTTTGCAGCTAAGCTAGGGTAAAGAGTAACCAACACAAGCTGAACACATGCACTGCCTTATATTTAAGGGAGCTTGGGCAGCTTTTCATCAGGGGTGGCTTATTATGACAAAGTCTAACTTTTACAATCTGAAATAAGGAAAATAAGAAAAGTGGATGGAGTTTTCAGTATTTTACCAGTAACCCCCAGCTTTACTCTCTCTCTAGGCTCTTTGGTATGAATGAAACAACATTTTTGGAAGGAAACCAATGAATGAGATAGCATGTATCCTGGGGAATGTATGTGACTGAGAACTAGCAGTTCACAGGAACACAGGTGAAGCCCTGCTGAACCAGACCGAAGTCCATCATCCTCTTTCCCCACAATTGCTGGCTAACTTCTTCTAGGCAGTCTAGGTCTGGAGTCCTCCCTCACTGTTGTATACTCCCTCTCACACATGGGGGCATGAGGTTCATGGTTAGTAGCCCTTACAGACCAATCTTCCACAAATAGGCCTATATTTGTCTCATCAAAAATAATCTATTGGTAAATGGAGATTTAAACCTGTATTGTTAAGACAGCAGTTACTGGGTGACTACTTTCACATGTGATGCAGCAACAGGGATGCAGCAACAGAAAAACATATACATACTACAGGCAGCAGGAGTTGCAGGCCACATCAGTTCCTGCAAGCGTGACCTTCGACCTTGCGCATCGACGTACACTCCCAAATGGCTGAAGCAAAGCAGGTATTCCTCATTGACGAGCTCCACAGCACAAAGGGCATCAAAAGACTGTTGTGAGAGGAATGCAAGCGAAGGGTCATTGGAATTTACCAGGTTTATAGACTGTCCATCTCCTTGGATGTTCAAGAGACTGAAACCAGACGGGTACCCAACACAAAGCCTGTCTTTGAACAGTGCCATCCACTGTATATTGCCTGGAGCCTGGATTTCATTGAACTTTTTATGGAAAGGTTTAGTTCTGTGAATCTCATAGCAGAGAACCTGCCGTTTGACTGCCACAAACAAACTTGTTGAACTGCTCTTCTTCAGTGTCCCGGTAATAATGAACTGGCAGCCTTTTGTTTCAGGAAGCTTAACATCAAAGCTGCCTTCAGATCCATCCAGGGAGGACCAGGGATACAAGTGAACGTGATGATTACGACCACAGATAAGGATGATGATTTTCTCTTTGGGAGCAAGCTCTATCTGGTAGACCTTCTTACAGTCAGCAGCTCGGACGATCACTGTGAGAACAACATATTCAGGTGAGTAAGCAGCAGGAGAAGTAGAGACAGGATGTGACAAACTGAGTTTTAGCAATTCAATTACTTAGGATTGATGCATATTTCCATAGTAGAAGAGGACAGCATAGTTCTACTCCAGGCACAGGATACTATGAAAGTTTCACTCTCGACTCTTTCTTTTGTACATCAACCCAGAAACTGCACTCAGTATACAGCAGGGATGGCTTCATTTTATTTTGAAAAATTTCTATGCTGCCTTTAAGAGCAAAAGCTCTCTCAAGCAGGGTTACACAATAAAATTCTATAGAATAAATCCCATCCATGGCAAAACAGAAAAAAAAAATAAAACCAACAATACAACATAAAGCAACAACCAGCCCAGACAGTAGTACAAGCTAAAATTGGAGTACTAGGACAACTACAGCTCAAAACCAAGAACAATCCAATAAAACCACAGACCAAATTATTAATTACATTATGGTTTTAAATCCCCAAAAGAATCCTGATTTGAATTAAGTTTGCCACTGACAGTTCTTCACTTACTTCTTCAACAATGGTACACATCTGGTAACTAAAAATTGTTAATTTACAACTTTATGCAACATTGTAAAACAACAAGGACAGTGTATTTCCTGATAGGATCATTTCATGCCCAAAAGGCATGAGTTCTTCTCTGACCAAAGTTTGGGGGGGGGGGACTTGAACTATACTATCTTATCTCCCCCCCCCCCAGTTTATTCCACCACTCCTTTCTACTCTTTCTCCTTTCTACTCTGTCTCAGATTGCCTATAATGCCTATAATGGCTGTGGTGTTTGCTCCAAAGTGCCAGGCAGCTCACTCATCACTTAACTGGACCAGGGATCTGTCTCCCAGGTTCAGATGACATTATAAACCATAATGGTTAAACATCACGGTAAAGGTGGTTTACTGCCTCAAAACAACCCAGCTTCCAGGCAGCAGCATGACAACACACTACGGATAGATATCCACAATGCGTTGTTGTGTCACACAAATGCAATCAATGTCTCTGGTGTTATCACTGTCCCTGCTGCCTTGCTTGGCCAGTACCACCACCACAAAAAAGGTGAACAACAGCCCTATCCAGCCTGTGTCTTTGCACATGTGATTTCAATCAGAGAAACATAGGAACAAAAGAGTTGCAGAAGCAAAAATCCAGTCACACAACAGAATTTCTCCATCTTCTTCTCCAAACTGCAGACCCACAAAATCTCCACTGGTGTCCCCTAAATTCTGAAGTACATTTGTGGGTACATGAAACACTGCAGGGAGAAAGGGAATTCTGTTTCATCAGCTGGCAGAATGACATTGTTGGATACAACCTATAGTAAGCTTCCGTTCTGTGTGGTTTTACTAAGCCTAACTAACCCTAGCAATAAGCCACAGTGGCTGGGTTCACGACATCCAAGTGAACTGCTAAGTATATACAGGACCAAGTAATCTTTGTTCATTAAATTCTACCCTCTTCACAGCAAGATCTTTATGCTTTTCATTTCTGCCCTGACAATCCCCAATGTGATGTTCATTTTGCACCTTTACCTGAGACTCTAACCACTCAGAAAAGCACAGAAGTGCATTCCACCCCCTTTCTGGAGAGAAAATGACTTTGATTTGTCACGTTCAACAAGCTTTTCACTGGACAGAAACATTAATTAGAAAGTGTAGGTTTCAAATGTTAGATTTAAGTCTATTTTTCAAAATGAGAAAGCAATTATTATTTTATTGATGTTTTTAACAGGCCTAAAACATCCAAATTAGATGCAAAAGAAAATTTCAAGTTTTAATTTTTTAAACAATGATTTTTATCCACCCTGAAAAACATACTCAGGAAAAGACCAAAGAAACAGGCATCTTGCTTCTTTTTGTTCTACTTGCAGTCTTTGTGGTTCTAATAAATTTAATAGCTTTTTTTTTAAGAAAGAAGCAACACTGGAAAGACTTTTAAATGCATTTTGAGAAATACAAGCAGGCTATTCAGAAAAGAAAGTCCTTTGAAGAACATGCTGTGTATAATTTGTTCCAGACACCTGAGAATATTCTCTTCTCTTTTGGGATAAGTAAGTTCCTTTTTTGTTTGCTTCCCCAGTAAGTTTTAAATAGCATATAACACAGAACTGTGAATTTGGGAGCCAATAAAATAAAGGCACATTTAACATATATTTAGTGATCCTGAATTTATACTGTTGCTTAGACGATGAAAAGTGCCTTGTTAGATAGGTCTACTTAATTCAGCATGTGTTGAAAATATAGGTAGTGCTCTGTTCATCAGAAATTGGCCATTGACCCATGGCTGGTCCACCTTGCTGCAGAGGGAACACTCACTTAAGATTCCTAGCATCAAGAAACAAATATTCCTATTTGTCCTATCTAGGGAAAACAAGTACATAATTGTATCTCCAAGGTCAACACACATCAGGGCTATTAGAGAGACTATTTCCTTAGTAGCTCTTCTTTTCTAAGGGAAAATAATCAGAAATGGGAGAAAAGTCCTGGAAAATGGGAAGCCACATGAAGATGATGTATCATCAAAGGTAACGCCACACAATTCTTTGACCTAGTTGAAGAGGTCTAACAGTGGAACAGACACAATATACTGGATTTCAAAAAGAATTTGTAATTACAGTGTGCTTCACTTAAAATGAAACATTCTGTAACTACATTGTATGACCTCTTAAGGCAAAGTGTTCATATTTGCCAAATGAAATAGGAATGTGACTGAATCTCATGAAAGCGAAATTCAGTAACTTACTATCTGAACCAATCTCAGCTCATTTTTAGTAGCCAACATTTGAATACTCAAATGGTTTACACATAACAGCAACAAACTATGAATCATTTAATCCACAATTCATAGCAATGTAGATTGATTGTAGCTGCATCCTCTGACCATTACAATAGGAGGTTGTCAGCATCACTGATGAACTGTTTAGTGGATAAACAACCCAGAGTTTAATCCAACCATAAAACATGGGCTGTTTTAACCCCTAATTAACCCATCAGTCTGGGTTCCCATATCAAAATGCATACCTGCAACCAGGCCAATTGGAGATTAATTACAGAATCCAGAAGAAAGTAATTTACCCATGATCTTTCCTGTCCAGCCCTCCCTTTGTCCCATGTGCTTTGCTTGCGCTACCTACATTGGGCAGAGAGGGAGAACTACAGGCCCTGTGAGAAAAACAAGGAAGCGTTCTATTGAGCACTATGAAAATCTTTCATGTTTGGGTGCTGCACGCACAGTGCAAATGTTCCATGACCTAAAAATTTAGGAAAGAAGTGAACAACTTCATGGATCTAATAAAACAATAAGTGAACCAATTCCAATTACAAGTTAACACACTGCAATTTCAGGTCCTAGCGAGATGGATTATATCTGATCAAGTTTCTGGTTTAGAAACAAACTTGCTTTGCTAACAGTTAACACATTTAGAACAACCTCAGCAGTGACTGAGTCAAACAGCACTCTCTCTAATGTCTCTCTTCACACCTCTGTGCAACAGAGTTAACACTATTCTACTGATACTGGGCAGGCAAGGAAGATCAATGAACTTTCTTCCTGCTGCTCTCTGCACACTGAACTCATTCCCTTGAGAACATAAAGAGAGTCAAACAATTTCACTATTCTAGTTGCAGAACTTCTAAGTCCAAACAATTCCAGTAGCTGAAATACCTTATGGTACAGTAATTGTTTCCAGTACTCCATATCAGGAGAGGTAAGCTTTACAACCTCAGAATTCTTGCCCTGAATAGACTGAAAAAAGCCCAGAAGATTTTGGATCATTTCTTTTCTTGAGCCAGCTGAAGGTCCTCACGCAGTCTCTTAATGCCGCAAGACACAGCCTCTTAATTTGCCCCCTCTTCAATTCATAGAACAAGGTGACCCCACTGCACTCAGAAAGAATGAGAGGCTGCTGGGTGCTTTTCCGTTATTCATATAAAATGTTGCAGTAATATAAATAAAAGCACCTATTAAATTCAAAACTGAAGTGGGCCACAATTGAAGGCTTTCAGAGAAAGAAAGGTTTTAATGTGTTTTTTTAAAAAAGACAGGGCTAAGTTTGTAAATGTGTCTTTTTCTCTCATATTGATATATGTTTTAGAACATTAGGGCTATTACTGAAAAGGTTCTGCCTGCTCTGTATGTTAGCCTCGTCTCTCTGTAGGGTGGAACTTGGACCAGGATGACATCAGAAGACTTTAAGTATGGTGGGTGGAAAAATTATGCAGAAACACAGGCACTCTACAGTTATCAAAACTCAGGCAATTTAGGAACATAAAGGTCAAGAGCAGCTTTTTGAATTAGGCCCAGAAAAGAGCATCACCTAGTGAGGCTGTCTCTGATGTCAACAGGCTAGCTGTGTTCTATACTAACTAAAGTTTTTGAACCATCTTCAAAGACACTCCTACATTACAGAAATCTAGCCTGAACACACTTTTTCAGGGGGGACAGTCCTCTTTCCTTTGGTACCTAAACAGACCATATTTTTCTACTCATTAGCTCCCTCGAAAACATAGTTCAGAAGATCATTATTTCCTTTGGAGTATGCAAGGTACAAGCATAATTATACTCTTGGAAACAATCCTACAAAAGTCAGTGAGACAGATCAAATGAGAGATATACTTGCATAATATGACCAGAAAATATAACAAAAAATCTTCTGACCAGAGAAAAATAGGTCCTGAAATCTATTTTAGTCTATAAACCAGTTATTTACTTGAGATAGTTCCTTTTCTGAAAGCTTGTTGACAAGTCATAAAGATTTCTCATTTTCAATGTAATAAATGAGAACATAGGAGGAGAAATATTTATCTTAAAATCAGCAAGGCTTTCTAGACAGACTAGTGAAAGAAAATCATTTCTGTAACCAAGAGCAATCGTACTTGATTCCAATTATTCAAGTCTATCAAGAATATACATGGAGCAAAGAGCTAGCAAATTCCACTGCTGACATTTAAGGTGCTTTAAGAAGTCATGTTTGCTCCATGGTGTAGCACATAGCACAGTGTAAATATGAACTCAGTACAGCAGGCTTATAAAACTTGTAACCAACAAAGCCAAGACAAAAACCACATCCATTCATGGTCTCACAAAGGGACCAATCTGTCTCCTGGGACTACAAAGGAGATATGTGTTGCCAAATACCTGTCTGATGATGAATACATGGGCTGGTAGATTACAAACTGTGCAGCTTCCAGAAGTGTTTATCACCAACATATACCCAAAACCACCAAGAGATGAAATAATCCAGCAATTTGGGGCTGAAAGTCATCAATCTGCTGATATCATACTGTTGATACCAAGGGAACACTGGAAACCTTGAATCCATTACATTACTAAGCGAATAGAATGGATGTGGGTTACTAAAGTAAATCTTAAACCGGGTATGACAGAGGTACTACTGGTCAGTAGGAGTACAACTGACAGAGGGTATATGCCCTGTTCTCGATGGGTTTCATACACTTGGTCCATGGCTTGGGATCAGTGCCAGATCATCAGCTGGCTGCTGTAACTAGGTGCATTTCTACACAGCTTTAGCTGGTATGCCAGTCATGTCCCTTTTCTGGATAAAGCAGATGTGGCCCCATTTACATCCAGCTGGATTACTAATACTCTCTGTGTGGGACACCCTCTAGAAAACATTCAGAAACCTATGATGCAAAATGCAGTAACTAAAATTGCTTTCTGGAGCTCCCTTTGTTGAATGTGCAGGCAGTTTTGCTTCACCTGAACTAGCCTCAATTTCTCTTCTGAGTGCAATTCCCAAGAGCTGATTCTTACCTACAAAGCCCTGAACAATTTGAGTCCAAGATATTTGATGATCTACTTTCTCCCGTATCCTGTGCACCTACTGCATGCAACACCAGAGTCCCTGCTATATTCTGACAGGACCCCCACATTCAAAAGCATGCTTGGTTGGGACCAGAGAGAGGGCATTTTCTGTTGTTGTACATGGGTTGTGAAACTCCTCCCTGGAGAGGTCTGATTGCTTCCTTCACTCTTACATTTCAGATGACCTGCTAAGATTAGTTATTTCATAAATGTTTAGTATTCCCAAGAAGCAGAGGCATGCTGAATCAGACCAAAGACCTGTGCAGCCCAGCATTTTGTTCACACAGCGGTCAACCAGCTGCCTGTAGAAAGCACACAGACTGGAGACACGTGCAAGAGTACCATCCCACTCACTCATGATCCCCGTCTACTGGTACAGAGGCAAATACTGCATCTGAATCTGGAGGTACTATATAGCTGTCATGACCAATAGTCACTGATAGCCTTATTCTCCAGGAATCCGTCTAGTCCCATTTCAGAGTCATCAAGGTGTGCTGATAATTCTTGTGGCAGTGAATTCCATAGTTTAATTGTGCACTATGAGAAGAAGTACTTCCTTTTATAATGAGACAGGGAGGCTGCACAATGTGCCCAGTCCCTCAGTTTTCAAGAATCATAAGCAGCATGTCAGTTGATTATGAAACGCCTTCTATTATTTAACTTGTGCATGCTAGGATTGCCTAGTGGATTGCCCCTCTAACCCATATCAGCTGATGAAGGACAACATAGGTTAGATTCCTTGAATTCCATGACGCGCAGAAACATAGAAACGAAGTGAGTCAGAAGGGGCATCCCAGGCCATCTAGCTTGACCCCCAGCTCCACTCATGTAATCCCACACATGTGGTTGTCCAATCTTTCCTTGAAGACCCTCACTGATGGGGCCTTAACCACCTCCCTTGGAAGCCCATTCCATATTCAATGCACTAGTATGATGGTTTTAATACCTTTAGTAAAGGTGAGAACTTTTGTCATCCACAATGCCTGCCAAGTGAGCTGCTGAATTTTAAGAAACCCACTGAACAAATAGAAAAATTAAGCATGTGCAGCACTTGTCAGTTAAACAAGAAATTTGTATGGGAAGAAATGCTGTATAACTGAAAAAAAAGACTTAAGACATGCAGTTCACCCCTCAATATATAACTGCTCAATTTTAGAGAACTTACCATCACGGGTCACCTCTATAATGTAAAGACCTTCTTCAGAACCAATTGCTATTCTATCCCGATCTGGTAATGGTGAGGAGAGAAAGACTATTAGCATCAGGATGTCTGCAAACTCTGAGCTTCTATCTGTTTAACAGAGCATGTTTGTTTGATTATGACACTGAGCCAGTGGGACCAGATAGATCTTTTTCAAACGTAAGGATAATCAGTGCACTGCCTCCTGTGCACTTGTCACTTTCAATCAACAACCAAGAATCGCAGAGAGTTTGCCAATGACTTACATTGTTTACTCCCCTTAACAACCCAGAGTTCCAGGTTCAGATGTCAGACCAACTATCCAGGAACTGGACTGCTGATTGAAAGCAGAAACATTCCTGCTTAGCCACAAGAATTCCTAGGTTAAACAGCTCACATCTGGGTTATAATGGATTCAAATTTCTTTCTAGGCATAATTTAAAAAATACTAATAGTTAAAGCCCTAATAATGTAATCCTATGCATGTCTCTTTCAACAGTATGTTTCATAGAATTCAATGGGTCTTACCTCTAGGAAATTAGGCACAGGATGAAAGCCTTGATAGCCTGAGTCAAGATCTCTGGGAAATCAGAAGCAGTAGCTGTTTCCCATTCTTACTCTTTCAGAGATTAGACTGGTGGAGACAATGGGAGTAATTTTTTTGGCACTGTAGCGCCCTCACTTTATAACGCCATCCATAAGGATGTCCACCAGGCTAATAGCATCTTCACTTCCCAGAATTAATGGGGAAGTTTCTGCTCCAGTAAGCATTCACACTAAGGTGTGGGAAACAGTTATTTTAACTAGCATGGCTTTATATTACTGCACCCATGTACTATGCGGTTTTAAATTACTCTTAATAGTGTATTCTATTTATTATTTTAACATTGTTTTTATACAGTACTATTATGATAATTTTGGTAGCTGCCCTGAGGGTCATTGTGCATGAGGCAGGATAGAGATATGGAAATAAATAATCTCCCCAAATTAGAAGGACTGCAGGGAAAATCTTCACAATTATATTTTAAGGCTTTGTTACTGTACAAGCTATTTTTCCCTAAGCCAGAAAGCAATGAGCATTGAAATAAGAAAATTCATTCAAGCACTGCAGATGCCTGCTGCAAGTAGAGTTAATCATAATTAGCTTTTAAAAATCAATTAGTGAATTTCACACTACTAAGCTTTTCTGGGCAGAAATGCAGATGAGGAATAATACATTTAAGGATGGCAATGCATTAGCTCCATTTTCAGCTGTAACACCCCACATTCAAACATGTTGATATAGTTGACATACCTATAATAGCAGCAGCTAAGCTGGTTTTAATAAGAGGAAGTGTACTGTCATAGGCTTCCTGTGGAATATGTACAACTTGGTTTTTGAGTTTATTTTTGTGCAGAATAGATTGCAGCCCCTCTAGGATTCCAACCCACTTTCGCTTTTCATTCTCATTTTCTGTTAGGATCAGCAGAGAGCAGGTCTTTGAAGGTGAGCCTAAGAGAGAAGCTGTCACCTTGACAGCAAAAGGAAGCAAAATGAAAATTGTGAAATGAAATTTTGCTCACTCTCTGTATTGCAAGAGAAACACACTGGGGCTAAAGCTACTGGTAAAGATGTTATATGTAATGGCTTGGAAGAGGCACCAACTTTTAAAGACAAAGTTCCTGCATCTTGAAATCTTATGTGTAAAATCCAAATTCATGAAACCCCTTATTCATCCTGACATTCTCCTTTGTACAATGACTCAGCAATTATTTGAGTATCTGCTTTAATACTTGACTTAATTCTTCTTTAAAACATTTCTGAATGTGTATAACTGGGATGTACATCCAAGCAAGCATCCATGACTGAAATGAGGAAGGCCAACAGTAGCTGTTGCCCAGCCAACCACAATATATTCTATCTTCCCATGTCATTTGCCTTCTTACAAACACTTTTGCACCATTTCACAAAACATTGTGGAAAATTGCTGGAAACGGAAGATTATGCATTGGGAACTGCAAAAACTTCAACATCATTCTGTTTGGAGAAACGTTCGTATTAAATGGCTATTTACTATGTATTTCATATTTACACTTGATATGTGGTAAAATCCTTACTGTTTGGCATGATGATACCATTGATCAGCATGGGGATGAGGCAGCCCATTTTGAGAAACTGTGGTAATCTAATGGCTTCCTAAATGGGTTAAATCCATATTTTGGTTCTTTAAAAGTGTGACAACTGCACAAAATGAAGGCTACCCACATCAGAGAGCAGGCTGCTATTGAATATCTGCTCCTAGACATTGTATAGGCTAGATATCAGGAAGAGCAATACGACAGTGGAACCAGTGGCCCAGAGAGGTCATGGGTTCTCCCACACTAGAGACATTCAAAGCAAAACTGGACAGCCATCTGAGTGGGATGGTGTAAACTGGTGTCCTGCACCAGCAGGGGTTTGGACACAATGGCCTTCATGGCCCCTTTCAACTCAGCTATGCCATGATTTTATGATACCTAGCAGACACTGATAAGACAGCATCTTTGTAACAGAGCAGGGACAGATATAACTATTTTCGGATCGGGTCAGGGCAGGCTTAAACTATACATAGTTTGGCCCTGGGTATGTGCACTGGGCAGCATTTCAAAGTCTGAAAAGTATAATCATCCTCAAGCACGTGTGTAATAGAGGTAGGTAAAATGTTTTCTGGTCTCTAGAAAGTGAGAGTACTATTAATTTCTGTAAATGAGCATCTGAAAGCACACATTACAAACAATAAAAGGGCAAATTGTAACAATACAATCTGTACTTCCCAGAGCAATGGAAAGGAAAATCCAACTCCCTTTATTACACTTGAAAAAGCTTTCCGCTACCCATGCTGGTTCACTTCATAAATGTAGTATTTGAAATTGCAGTTCAACAGTGTGCTATAGTTACTCACTGGTTGCTCATGGAAGTGAAGTATGAGCACATGAATTTACAGTTAAGTAAACTACAAACAAGATAGGCACAAATGATCCAATAGTCTTACCCTGAATATACAAGGGATATCCTTGCGGGTTGCATGTATAACATCTGATGCTAGGACTGAGCTCACACAAAAATCTTCATCTCTAGTAAGAAAATAAATAATACAAGTCAACTTAATTTGAATGAATTGGTCTAAAAGTATAGCTAGTGGAAAAAGTATCAGCTTTCTTTCCCTGTGAAAGAAGTTAATACATGACCTGGTGCAATTTTAGATTGGTTTGCTGAGGAATATCTTGGGTACATGTAAGTTTGCTAAAAACACCCATTACTTTGTACTGGAGAAAGTCGAAAGAAAAATGAAGGGCAAAGTAAGAGTGTATGAGAGTGCAAAGATCTCATACTGCATATAAAGAGGGTCTCAATGTTTTGACAAAATGCATATTGATGTAAGTAAAGCCAGCTACAAAATGTTAATGCTATTTAAGTGGTTGTGCCATTTTTTGTTTTCATGACACATTTATGTTTATTTTCCTATTGATACAATTAACACAAAGGGGGAAAAAACACTTCAATGGCCAGCCAACACAAACCTGAGATCTAGGACTTGACTTGCGACAACTCCTGGCTGGGTGGATTTTCCTTCAGGCACGTCATAGAGGAAGAGTTTACAGTCACAGACAACTGCATAGGCCCGCTGCCACCCTTTCTTAACTCCGGTTGGCTTTGGAACCTGTTAAAAGATATTATTCACAGCTTTATAGAGGAAGCAGAGGAAGCCCCTTGGAAGAAAATTTCCTCCTACTAACAACAACAACAGAAATGCAAGATATTTCTAGTGTTACATTTAACTCAGGTTTTCAGTGATAGACTTTTTGTATGGAGGAATGAACTCTGTGGATTTGGAAGCATGTGCAAATGGGTTATAAAAATTATGTGCAGGACTGTAAGGAGCAAAATGATTCTCGATGCTTTGAGTTAAGTTAATAAGACACCAAACTGCAAGTGAACACCCAGTGCTCTCCATAGTCCACTTTAGCACCATGGGTATGGTGGTCCTGAGCAAAGCCTTGAGCTTGCATGCTCCCTGTTCCATTATCCACACTGCTGAGAAGGCCAGTGTTTAGTTCCACTTTCAGTATATCCTGCAAATGGTGACAGGCAATATATAAATACTGAAATAAACAGAATAAAATACATAAAATCCTGACTGTCTTGTTGTATGTGGTTTATCACAAACCTGGGCAGTTTCTAAATAATACATGTTCAGTTTTGGAATATCAAGGTGCTTCCTTAACTAACCACAGTCTGTGGTAAACTATGATCTTGCGTTTGTATAGAACAACTGAAAATAGAACTAAATGCTGTCTGAGCCCTCATTCCAGCTTCATGGTAGAAGGAGGTGGGAATACACAAGCCCAAGGGTTTGGTCAGGGTTGTTTCAGGCCATGCCACTAGACCCTAGTTTAGTGCTATATGGTAATCCATATGGGAGTGCTGCTACCCCTGGAAAAAATTAAATAACCCTTTTAAAAGAAAGAAAGAAAGAAAGAAAGAAAGAAAGAAAGAAAGAAAGAAAGAAGAAAGCTCCCACTGAACACACAGTCATGCTTTCTTCAGCATGCACACTAATGGTGGAAGGAGAATGCTCTCTAAGATGCTAGCCTAGCCCTAGAATGTTCTGGAATGAGGCTCTGCATTTGTACAGAACCTATTATGGGGGAACTGCACTCAAGCCTCAAAGATGATCCCATTTTTTAAAAATTAACTTTAGGATGTGTATATTTCAGTCTTGCAACTGGCAAATATAAAGGGAGGAACAAGGCACCAAGGATTTTTATCCTTCCCAATTAAGCTTGGCTAGAAAATAAATCCATTTTGTTTCACAACATCCTCTCCCAGTTTTCAGTCAGTTGTATTTCAGCTGCCAGTTCCGAATACTCCATATCAGACCACCTGCCATGCTCACTAGTCTAAGGATTAAGCACTAAGGGGATTACTATGAACTGTAAACAAAGCCTCTAGGCTTTATCACAATTTGGGAAGATGGAACAGGGTGGGAGGGAATAGCTAGGAAAGGTCTTCTTCAGCAGTCTGCCTCTTCTAGAAAGTCTGATGTTAGTACAGTATAAACCAAGCCACACACTGTGAGGAAAAGATTTTTGTAATATACCTAGATAATCAAGTGCCTCCAGCTACTGCAGCTGTCAGGGAGCAGTACACTAAATGATAGAAAGGAAGCTATTTCATTTTTTGCTCTTTCTCACTTTAGCTTCTGTGTGAAATTTTGGTTTTCATATAAACACATTTATGCTATACCAAAAAAGGGCTGATTCTTTGTCATGTATATATACACACTTCTGGCTTGTTCTGGATATACATAAATACAGAAATAAACAAGATAAAAACAATCATGTACGAGATGCACAAACCCCACCCCACTCCACCCCTTAAGGTTTAGCCTACCAATGGTTTAGCCCTTATTTCTGAAATATTGCTATATCCACCCTTTCTTTTTTCTATTAATCACTGGCTGGGTGTTTGCAGAGGAAGGCAGTTTGCTAGGCACCCTGGTCCTGTGTTGTTTAAAGCTTTGCACGTTAACAAGTTAACCTTTAACATTTCTCAGTAAGCTAGCAGGCAGCCCCTGCAGTTATCTTGGCACAGTGGTAAGGTGTAAACAGCTGCTTGTCCTCCTGAGCACCCTGACTGCTGCATCCCATACTACCTGCACCCTCCAAACCAAGTTCAAGGGCAGACTCACATAGAGCACACTGCAGCAGTCTACGTGTAAGAAAGGCTAAGCTATCTCTCTCCAGGAATGGGTAGACCTGTCAAGCCAGCTGAGGCTGGTAGTGGGCATTCTGAGCCACTGAGGTCATCTGGACCTTTAGCTGGATCCACAAACAGCCCCAAGCTATGGAGCTGCTCCTTCAGATGGATGGTTTCACTAAGCCTAGTGGGTTTTGTGTAAGTTGCTGGGGGAGGGGAAATGAATAGTTAAGGGAAAATATGCATTTGTTATAAAGTATGGAACAAGTGCAATGAAGAAACCTTTGCAACTGATATAGTATTTATTTTACAATTACAGATTTAAATGTCATCATTTAATATGGTACTAGGCTTGATTATTTGCCTGTGTAGCTACTTATCTCAATAAATCAAAATACTGGCTTTTGAGTTAACAACTTAATCCTTCCTATTCTCAAGAGCACTACCGATAGGGTTACAGTCCGCACCCCCTCAAGAAAGCAGATTCTTACCTTAACATAGCCCTTGTAGGCTGTCCCTATGCCTCTTTGAACATCTACTCCAAGGGGTCTCTTGGCTTGCTCTGGAGGTATAGGGCAGACTTGTGGGGTGCTGTCCTTACAGGAAACATGGCATGCAAAGGAACACACTAAGGAAGAAAAAGTGAATTGTTATGCCATGACATGACAAAGCAGTGAGAACAAAGAACATGTAATTTCTGCTTGCCACCAACTTTGCCCTTGCCCCAGGGGAACAGCAGTAGTGTTTTCTGTTTGAGCATCATGCTCTGCTCTGGAGGGCCCAGAAGCCAACTGTGGTAGCACAATTCACTCCTGTCCAGTTTTGCAGCTCCAAGCTGGACTAAGCTTCATGCTATATGAAGATCAAAAAGCATGCCCCATGACCTACGTGACATGAGAATTTGTGGACTCTTGTTTAGAAGTACCTATTTGGTTCTAACATTAACTCACACTGCCAAATAACCTGCTGCAATGATTAAGGGCTACTATTATTTGCAAGTATTCTTAGATTCATGTATCCCACACTTTGGAGGGTATAGGCTTTTTCTCAATCAGACTGAAGACACGCCCACTCTTTCATCCACAAGTACATGTATGTGCTTTCAATTAGTTTCCAAGCTGCTAGCAGCCGTATCCTGCTACAGTGGAAAAACCCCACTTAATATTGCTACCTGACCATGAGCCTTCTCTTAGCAAGGAAAGCTCAGGAACTGTGCTTTCTAGGTAACGGTAATTCATCTCAGACTTTTACATAATTGATAGTTGTAACAAAGGCCAAATCAGAGTCCTCACTCCTTCCACTCAGAAGGTGTTGCTAACTATATGTTGAGGAGGGGCACTGTTGCTCCAGGCAGCTTCCTTCTTTCAATAGGGAAAGAAAGGTGGATGGACTCAAGAAGAGTTTAATCACTTAGGACACAGTTCACCACCTCTTGTTCCAGAGTCTGGAAATCAATGTCTTATGATGCTGATGCACAGCTTAGTGTTAGCATGGATTTCCAAGCAACAGAGAGCCTGCAGCCCATACTGTTTCTCCCCCCCCCCCGCCTTTTTAAAAGGATTTTTGACAAACAAAATGGCACCCTATAGCAGCTACAGAAAACTAAAAGGTCACATTTCATCTGAACAAGCTAAATTCAACCCTTATAGCACCACTGAATGCTACAGAGTGCTTTGTTGCCAACTTTCAACAGCAAACCATCTATTTAATGTTTTAAAACAATCTATTCAAATAGGGGTAGTGGAGGACAGGAAGGCCTGGAGAATGTTGTCCATGGGGTTGCAATGGGTCGGACACGACTGTGCGACTAACAACAACAACAACCCAGTGAGTTGTGGTGTTCTGAAGAGTAAAAATGCCCTTCAGTTACTCACCTCTGCCCTAAGAAATCAAGAATCATATACCTACATCAAGTAATCTCAATGAAGCAGGCATGTGCTGTTTTCATTTTGCCTCAAATTAGTATTCCACATATTGTTTAGCCTCCTTTAATTGTATCAGCAGTGCACAGCATAAGAGAAATCCAGTGCAGCAGTGTCACATCCTAAACTGTGCTTGTTAATGCCACCTCTCACTGATGATCCCTGCTATGAAAAGAAGCACTGGACATCTAAGCCCATGCTTTTACAGAACTATTTCCTGCCCTCACTGAAGCTACTGACAGGAAAGATGCTTGTGTATACTAAGCTCGCATGTAAAGAGTTCAAAGGTATGCTTCCCTTCCAAATCACTCCTTTGCTGCCGTACAGATGTAGAATTATGCTGTTATACTGCTGAGTGCTTAGGATATTTAAACCAACTTACCTTCACAAGCATAGCCCTGTCTAATCAATCCAACCATGAGTGATGTGCAATGGCTGCACTGAGTAGGATTTGAAAAGGATTTGATACTGAGTTGATGAGCTTTAGGCTGAAAAATAAATTCAGGATAAATAAGTTCAGAAACTTACACTGGGTAAGAAACTAGCCTCAATTGCAAAGCTCCCATTTAAATGGACCTTGGTTTGCTCAACTGCAGGTAGTCCTGATGCAGTCCTTATTCACTTGTTGGAGCTGGACAAGGCCACATCCTACCAGATCATGCCTACAATTTATTTATATTCCTCCTTGAAATCAAATTGCTTCCCTGAAGTAGAACACTGAAGTGTTTGCTTTAAAAATCACATCATTCTGAATCCCTAATTGCCTCTGCACGGTGGCAGCACTGCAGATGGCCCACGTCAAAGCACCTAACATCTTGGTGGGCTCCCTTGTCTGTTCACTGGAAAAGCCACCTGCAGTGCAAGAGAAACAACCACTGGCTGTGCCAGCATGAAAAAAAGGCACCCACAGAGTACAGAACTGTACAAGGAAGGTTTTCAGGTAGGGAGAGTGACAGAGAACATGATAATATCACTGTCCTGTGCCTGATTCAGAGTCTTAAGACCACTGAGGTGTTGTGCCAGGCTGTGCCTGTCACTGGGAATTTGTTTGCCCCTATAAAAGGCAAATAGTAAATATTTTTCCTATTGCTAATATTTACTGTTCATATTGAACAGGCCATGGTTTTAAGAATGTTCTCAGAGGCTAAAAATGTTCATTTGGCTCTTTGCCTTCTCTGTTTTTGGTGAGCTGTTATTGTTTTGTTTTGTTTTTTAAATCCACCTATTACACTCCTGTTTTTGAATTGCACTGAAATTGGCTGTGTTATGCTTTGTTTTAGTGCAAGTGATCTGTCTTGAAAGCCCAGCATACAATCAGAGTAGCCACCATGACTATTTTAAGTATATGTTATTTAAATAGACCAGAACTGTAACTTGAAATCAATTTCAAGTTGATTTCATAGTTAATTTCATACTCTTGAGCTGCACTGCTTGTGACCTATAAAGCCAAACACAGCTCACAAGCCCTCTACTGGTATGCATAGTACTCCCCGCTGCCATTTTTTGCAGTCTTGGAGGGTCAATAAGCCCCTTCTAGTCTGCCACACATGGCAAGCTGGAATTTGTCCTGGTGGTTTAACAAGCTGTGCAGAAAAATGACCTTAATAAATCACCTGTCAAACTCACATATGACCAAATACACACATGCAGACATGACTAAATGCACAGATGGATCACATATGAAGCCACAATCCTTTTTCACATTCCTTCCCCTCCCACAGTTCTAAGCGAAATAAATTATTAAGGCCCCCCATACCTTTGGTACAGCTAGAGAAATGGACTGAATGGTGGGGGAGGGAACAGCAAGCGTCCTCTGAAGCCGAATTGGTTCCTGAATTGCAAAAAACTACAGTTGAGCAAGGTTTAAGACTTCCAGGATGTACATTTGCTCAAGCAACAATGACTGAGTATCTTTTTAAAGGTTAGTAAGAGCCAATATTGAAAAATGAAGCATCGTTCCTATTTCGCTAGAACTAGGTGTGCCGATCAGAAAGACACATAGGTAGGCCTGCACTCTAGCAAGCAACGGAAGGTCATCAAGACAGCAGAGTCCAATGACACACTGGGAAAGCATAACAAACCAAACAGGCTCACAAAGCATGTATATTGAAACACTGGCATGAACATGGAAAGAAACATGCTATGAAGGAAGAAAATATTTGTTGTGGACTGATGACAATAACACACATTTATAAGGGCTGCCCAGGGTGGTTTAGTTTGAGCAGTACTAGAACAACGGCTGCTTACTTCTTCTTGCTGCTGCTGCTCTGAAGTCACAACAGATGTCGACGGTGAGACCTCTGCCTTGGACCCTTGTGCCTCCTGCTCACTAACAGAATTCGTCTGCAGCGTGGGGGAAAGATAGCGGACGAGTTAGTTCCAACAACAATGAGGTCCCAAGTAGTAACTCAGTGGCAAGGTCAATTGAGGCAAAAGGGTCTGTCTGCCAAGAAGATGGAGAGAACACACGTCTCCACTGGCACCACTGAGCTAGTTAACACCAATTCTCTAAAAACAATCTCTTCAAAGCAACAGCTAAATTGTACAAATGGAACTAGTAGCTGTTGAAAGCCCCAATTTAGAAGTGTCACTTCTTCCTGAGATTAAGGTAAAGTTCTTGATGCTTGCTTCCAAAAACTCTTTGAAAGTTACTTCAAACTGATTACAGGCACAGACAAAATGAAGCCAGATCTCCATAAAGCAGTTCAATTTCAATTTTCCTAAAGAAATAAAATGATGGTGGTGGTAGGGAATTACTCAGTGTACTTTTTGCTTCATATACACCTGCCCATCACTTAGTATCATTGTGAAATAACAGATACGTGAGTTTTGATTTAAATTATAAATGTCAATATATAAGCATTAGCATGCAGAGTTAAGGGGTGCTGAGGTGCCTTTTTGGTACCCCAAAATAAATATTTAGAAAAATGTGAATATTGTTAACAAAATGAAGCAACATACTTAGGCACTGTGAAATATTGCACCCACAAAACTGGCTTGGGTTAACAGCAACGGGTCTTACAAAGCAGATATTCTACATGAAGTGTCCATACACTGTTGATTTTGTTTACATGTTCAATATAACTAGCAGAAATAATCTGATGCTTTAATACTATGTAGCTAAATCAAGTAGCTGTCAAAGGTGTAAACTGCTCAGCAAAAACATATGACATCTTTTACTTCATAATTAAAGATCAAGCATGTTGCTTTAAACCTCCCACTACTCATCCTGCAAGGAATAAGCTTTTAATTTTTTTGACAAAATTACAATTAGAGCTTTTTCAGCTGGGTTGGACAACAACATTTCCTTTTAAAAACCTTTAATAAGATCATTTCAGACACTATGGCACACCAAGTTCTGCACTGCCAGCAGGTACATCAGGCAAACCAGGGTTTGAAGTTGCTTGGCTGCTTGTAGTTTTCATTCTATAAGAAGGTCAGTTCACAGCCATCTTCATGGTATTACAGAGGTGAAATGATGGCTAGAACTGTAGTTTGTCCACCGAGTTATCAGGTCATACCATAGTTACTTAAAAGTATCAATTCATAAATGAAATTAATGCTAAGTGTGGGATACAAATCCTATCCAAAAATTGAGAGGTAATAAAATAATTCAACCAGCTAAAAAGTATACAATAAATTCAAAGTTATGTGCAAATAATATTTTTTGACTGGCTAGAGAAAAGCATATGATGCAAGTGCCAGCTGTACTGCCACTCAGAAGGGCAATTTAGAGGCAGGTGGAAAAGGTTCTCTTTTGAAGGATGCATAATGCACCTCTCTTGCTGGTAGAATTTGGAGAAGGGATTCATCCAACAACATTAGCAAGCTGCTGGTTATTAGGAAAGGGTAATTGGCTCCCAATGTGTTCAACATTGTAAAAGTGAGCACCAACATCTTGAATTGGGCTTAACAGATAGATAGCCAATGTAGTTATTTCAGAACTTCTAACATGGCTCCAACTAGAGAACTTTAGTCATCAAATTCTACACTAGCTGCAGCTACCAAACTCTCTTCAGGGACAGCTCAACATACGGCACATGACAGAAACGGAAACTAGAGGATATCAGGGAATGCATTAAAGTAGCCAGCTATCTCTGTCCAGAGAGGACCGCAGCTGGCATACTAGCCAAAGCTGGTAAAAGGAACTCTGAGCCACCAAGCTCACCTGGTTCTCCAGTGACTACGTTGGATCAAGGTGCAGCACCAAGCTGCGTGCTTGCTCCTCTGGGAGGAGTGCAACTCCATCCAGTATAACTAGAACAACCCCTGATTTGCAAATCCAGTTCAAACAATGGCTTCCAATTCTGATCAAAAATCATAGTCTGTGAATTTGAACATCATGCCAAAATACAGTTACACTTCTGTTACCAGAATTAGCCTTGATATCTGAATAATGACTTGTACCTATACACTCTGCAACAGTCAAAGGCAGCCAGAATGCCTATAGGGTACACTTATTAAGGGTTACTGGTCATGGTAGCTATATATTATTTCTAGTTTCAGAGCAATATGTCTCTCAGTACCAGTCATGGGGAGCAGTGGCATTGATAGCACCTGCTTAGCCACTCCAAGATTCTGGGCTACATAGATCTTTGATTTGATCCAGCACACCAATTCTTCCATCTTCTTCCACACCAATTCTTCCATTCCATTTTTTACAACCCATTAGTCACTTCTATTTGGCAGTTTCTGTGATTATGCCAATTGCCTTGATAGAGCTGCAGCTAAAAAAAGTTAAATTCCAGAGAGGGGTCTAATAATTCTGTGTATTAATCAGGAAAGTCAAGTTATTTAAAATGTTTTATTGATTCATAATCTGTCTTTTGCACAATTAAATAAATTTGCATATTACCAAAAAGTCTGCCATTGAGGATATTGGAAGCAGTGAGCACCAACAAATAGATGGAAGCTATCATCCATTATTAGGAAAGAGTACCTTTTAATGTTACTATAACACATTAGAGCTATGCATCTCAGATACCAAGAAGCATAGCCTTAGAGGGGGCCATCTATTAATCGGCTTACAGCACAATCTGATTTGTGCTTGCTCATGAATAAGTCCCCTTATATTCAACAAGGCTTAGAGCCCAGTAATTATGTTTAGGGCTATAGCCTACATCTTTATGTGTGCAATAATGCTATATGTATTCACTTGGAAGAAAATTCCAACAGAGCGTTTCATACAAAAGAAAGCATGTTGAAGACTGCAACTAGAACTGAGGAATTTGAAACTTAGAAGCACCCGAACATGCAGCTATATAAGACAGAGATAATGGCAGATTATCTACTGATACTAAGTTGTACTTGCTGCTGCTAAAAAACCAAGTGCACTGTGGTTATAGTTAAGCATGTTAAGTCGAAGCAGAATGGAGGGCAAACTATAGTACTATTTCATTAGATACTTAACAAAATTGCTGTTACTAACTTTGCATCAAGTTATATAAATCCCATTTGCTTAGTTGGTACTGAAGCTCTTTACTTTGCTTCAATGCACACACACAAAATTCAGAGCACAACTGCCTCTAGATAAATGTGGACTTGCTTCTCCTTTGTTCAGGGAACAGCACAAATAAATTAAAATAAAAATTATTAAAATATTAATTAAGCATTCAAAATTAATGGTGGAACCTTTTCTCTTTTCACACATCAGCACCAAAGCAGCTGATCAATACAAACAATAAAACTGAAATCAAACTTGCAAATAAAATTTTAGAGCAATAGGGACCATCAAACAACTATCAAATCCTTGGAAAAACAGTCCTGCTTTAAGTTGGTATCCAACAAATATTTAAGGGGAGAGTAGTGCCACCACAGATAAAGCTTTATTTCTGAAGGCCAACCAACCTGGAATAGGGTTTCAAAGCAGAATCTTACAAATTTAGTGTGGACCACATGTAATAATATGCAAGGCCAAGATTTGACTGGATCCAGCAGCATTCAACTGTAGACTACATCACTATCAACAAGGGATTTTTACAGTTGAATGGATTTGGACCATCATAAATCCCAACCGCTGCTAGGTGAATTACATTCCTGGTCAGTATAAACTACACCAGCAATTTTGCAGATCTCCCATAAACTGTCAAATTCTGCTTTTGTGCCATATAAAGTGTATGTTGCCTGATCCAATTACAAGAGGACTGTTAAAAATATAGACAAAGCTAGTTCTATTTAGTTGGTTAATCTTCAGTACCATTAGAGTAAGAACACATATATAAAGGAAACTTTAAAAAGGACACTAGTTTAGGAAGGCAATTTTACACATACCAATCACAGATTAGGGTGGCAAAGCAATCAGCATAAACTTACTTCTTCCCAAAAGGCTAGTGAAGAAGATGCAGACAAGGAAGAAACGGAGTCCTTGTTGTAACACATATGAGAGGATAAAAATGATCACTTTTTACCTAACATACCATTAAAAGGGTCATTTGCAAACTAGCTAGATAAGTTAGTATTTAGCAACAATCAGAGACTACAAAGACATTTTTTTCTGATACTCTCAAATTCTTTGTGTTACAATAATTAAACATTCCCGGTAGTATACCAAATGCATTTGCTATTAAACACAGCAATTCAAAAACAGCCAACAAAATCTATCATTGAAATCAGAAGCTTTGACCCACCAAGTAGCTTTGGGAAAAGTTACCACCATGCAACCTCATTTTTCCATTGTAATATCAAAAAAATGATCAACCTGAGGGGCTATTGTAAGGTCAAATGAGGTAAGGAATTTTTTAAAAGAAAAAAATGAGACTGCAAAATACATAAACATTTCCTGCAGATATATGTAATGAAGGCTGATATTTGATCTTCATTAAAAAAAAAACTTGCACCATACAACACTTTTAAATCTAATTTGGCAAACATCTTTTTACTTTAAGCTACAGATAACAACCAAGACTTGGCAGCAACTTTTGTTTGCTTTCCATCTAGGCTGTTTTCAAAGAGGCTTCAGAGTGGGTGGACAGTAGCACACAGCACATCTTCTGCAACAACAATAAACTAGCATCTACATTCTGTGAGATAAAAGCAGCACAAGTGTACGCTCTATTCAGACTACATCCAATTTGACTTTTCCTTGGCAGCCAGCAGGGAGTTTGAAAAGGAAATAAGGAAAACCCAGGAAGTGACAAAGAAATGGTATGTGCAAATGTTAAATAGGCATATTCAACAAGAAAATTCATTTTTATATATTATTCTCACATACGAGCTTTTTCATCCTGCCCAATCTGCATATTTTATAGAACAAGGCCCTATGTCAAGAGTGCTTAACTTGATATGACTAATTACATATGACATTTTGCTATGTTATCTTCAAGGGAAGTACGACATAGTTGCAATGTGCCCATTCAGCAGCAGCTGGATTTTCATAACTATCAGAGAAGATGTGTGCCATAACTGAGTTCAAATTCCACATGGATTTGTTCTAATCACTCTCCTGAAGACTACAGTAAGACTACAGTAAGGGCCCATAATTTCACATACAAATGCTACAAAAATGGCAAGCAAAAACAAAGCATAACTATTACTATCTTTCTCCGCTTATAATCTTTGCTCCAAAGGACAACTGTTAACATGCCTTCTTCATTAGTTCTGTATGCAACAGCCTATATAATCCAATCTCCAAACAAAATATGAATTTCCATTCCACAGTTTTATAACCAAAATGACACAAAAATGAAAACACAGCACGTTGCAGAGTACAGATTGCACTCTGCATCCTTAAGTGAGTGTTTGGAGAAACAAAGTCAGACATCATGAGTTTAAGTGGGTGACTTTAGCCACTGGATTGCACAACCTTTTTTCAATGTCCAGCTAGTACTCTTCAGTCCTCAAAACTGAGCAGATTGCCCCTTTCTGCTGGTAGCAAAACCTTTAGATTGCAGGATTTGTCTGCCTACTAGACAATGCAGTGGACTAATGTGTCTTCACAAGTGTGCTTATTGGTTTGTTTGTTTTTTTGCCCAATCCTTCCTTTACTTACTTACTTACTTACTTATTTATTTAAAACATTTCTATGCTGTCCCCATCATAACAAAGCCTTGGGGCGGCTCACAAAAAATACAAAAAAACCCCCAAAACTGTTTAGTCTCACTTTTCCAATAGTGGAAGAAACTATGGGATACAAGATACGCTGTGTGAATGGAGACAAAAAAATATAGGAGTCCAAAGGAAGAAGCACAAATGTCTTCTTCTTTCCTCTTAGGGTCATTAAAGGGTAAATAAGGACAGAAATGCTGATAGTGAGAGGAAAGAGATAAATATGGATCACATTAATAGATTTGTCTTCTTTCCATTTGTTCCCTGACAGGACCGCTTTTTTAGTTTAAATTGAACTACCACTGAAATGGTGCATAATAGCATAAGGAGAAGAGGCAAGCCCCTGCCTGAAGGGGTCTTGTAATCCAGATTGAGAATTTTTGTTTATGAACTGCTATTACCTACTCAGTAAGACTGTACAATTGTGATGCTTACTATGTACAGATTCTTTATGCTTCATATTCATTTTTTACATCTGAGTTCAATGTGCATTTCCTTGGTGTAACATTTGGCAAATGTATGTAACCACACACAGCAATACTCACTCTGAAAGTAAGATCATGTGCAAGAGGCGAGGTATTGAAGTACTCAAAAATGGAATCTTGGAAGTCTGAAAGTTTTAGGCCTAGAAAAAGGGAAATACAATTGACTAAAACATATAATAATTCTGCTATTCTAATTTATACGTCCTTTATATGTTATTACCTGCATCACTCCTGTATTTATCCTCTAGCTTCTTCTTTAAACCTTCAACTTCTTCCATGAGTTCTTGATTTTTTGCTTCAGATTCCTTTAGTTTGCTAAATGGTAAAATGGAAACCTTGAAATATTTGGAATGTAAGAGAACAAAATACATTTCCATGCCTTACTTTAGCAGGGTTATTGGGGGGGGGGGGGCAATCCTTTTCAACAGTTCTTTACCCCTACAATGGAGGAAAAATATATCAATGGTACTAGTTAAGATGGCTATATATCATATATGTTATATTAATTATATATATATATATATATATATATATATATATATGAGAAAGTAGCAGTCTCTGGTGATCAAAAATAGAAGGGTACTGTCGCATTCATGCTTTGCTTCCAACAGGAACTTGGTTGTCCACTGTGGGAAGAGAATGCTAAACTGGATCCATCAAAGGCTCTCTTTATTATGTTCTTATCTTCTAGCTGTGTCAGTGATAGCCAGGCCTTCAGACAAATATTCCAGAGTTGTAACTAGTGGAAGGTCTGCACTTTTTTCAGAGACTATATAACCAAATCATCAAATATTTAAAAGGTTGCAACCCTGCATACACAGCCTCTTAGGTTATACAGTAATAACCCAAGTGATCTTTATAAGCAGATGGTCCCAGGTTTACCTCCCAACATCTTTTATTACAGAAAAGGATGAGCTACCACTCTGGGAAAGCTGCTGTCAGTCAGAGAAGACAGTTTAATAGGCTAACAGACAAACATTCTGACCTAGGAGGAGGCAGCTTCCTATGTTCTTGGATCATATTAATAATAAATAATACCATTCTTTCAAAACTGGTTTAAAATTAATTTGATTATATGAACTTCTTATACTGGTTCAGAACTATGCTTTATGTTGTACATCACCCTGGGACAAGTGCATAATAATATATTTAACAACAATTTCAACAACATGTTGTGGTTTTTTTTTCTAGTTTTCCACAGTTGGAGAAGATCAGAGAACCCGTAGGAGAAATGGAAGATTATATCCAGAAAAGTGTTAATCAGTGCAAATGTTTGGGTCACCTCAGACAGTATATTAATATAATCACTGTTTGAATGGCTTACTGTAACATGTAACTGAAGCTATCAAAATGTACTGAAGGAAGAGGTCTTCCAGAGCTTGACAAAAGTAGGGATGGGTCTTCTCCTATTCTTCTCTGGCACCCAGTGACAAAAAGCTAACCAAAATTGCTAGCCTCAGGCTCCCTGTGAATCTTCATGGCTCCAGTGGATAGTGCACTACCTAGAGTACTGGGAAGAAATCAGCTCTCTATCTTGTTCCTTTTTCCCCTGTGTCTTTCACCAGTCAGAGGTACAACTGCAGTGGTAATAGGCGGTGACAGAAGAGATGATATAAAAGTTGGGGGCAGCAGGGAGAGACTCGAACAAGATGGGTTTCTGCACTCCCTGCACATCATGAGCATCTACAGGTTCTCCCTTATATACATATTATATGACACCCCCCTCCCCCCTCCCACTGCAAAGTCCAGTACAGACACAAATCCTTGATCTCTTAATCACAGAGATGAGAAGCAGGCATGGGATTGCATTCTTCTCACTCTCAGCCCCTTTATTCTTCCTGTCCCTATACTAACAGCTTTAACCATGGTTAAGGATTATGTCTCTGCAAGTGTACACCATGCTTAATTCTTGCCCACTTTAAGGTTAATGAGAGAAGGGCAGGGAGAATTCATACTAGATGTGGAAGAAGCTCATAGCTTTGCAGTCTGTCCTCTACAGTGGTACCTCGGCTCACGAACACCTTGGCTCACAAACAAAAATTACTGAAATTTTTTACTTGGGTCATGAACACCGCTTTGGGTGGCGACCAAGATCGCAGCCATCTCCCCCCCCCCCCGCCCCCGGCGGGGAGATGGCCACAATCGCAGTTCCATTCATGCAGGAAAGGCGTCCATGATCAGAGGCACGTGGCTGCGCTAAAGACAAGCAGATTCGCGGCTCTGCTTTGCTGTTCCTGTCTTTCCTGCAGCCGCGCACCTCTGATCACAGATCACAGTTGCTTTCGTGCAGGGAAGGCATGGTGATCAGAGGTGCGCGGCTGCAGGAAAGACAGGAGCAGCAAAGCAGAGCCGCGGGGGAGATGGCTGAGATTCTGCCTGTTTTTCCTGCAGGAGCGCGCCTCTGATCAGGCACGCCTTCCCTGCACGAACAGAACTGCGATCGAGGCCATTTCCCCATCCCCAGTGCACTGTTTGCGCCCATCTCTCCCTCCCCCAGTGCGCCCGCGATCACGCCTGTCTCTCCCCACACCCCCCAGCGTGCCAGGATGACGGGCGCTTGCAGGGATGACAGGCGCGATCTCGGTCATGCTGGGAGGGTGGGGAGATGGCCGCGCTTGTGCTTGGGGTGGGGGTGGGGAGATGGCCGCGATCTTTGTTGTTGTCACTTTGTTTCAATTTTTTCTGATTTAAAAAATGGTTACAGAACGGACTAACCTTATTTACATTGAACCTTATGGGGAAATTTGACTTGGCTCATGACCAGAGTCCTGGAATGGATTAAGTTGGTGAGCCAAGGTCCACATGCACCAGACCTGGCCAGGATCCAAAAGTCAAAATCTAAAGGTGCTCCCAAGAGCTTTAGCATGTGCAGAATTTCTCTTGAACTCTTTGTTCACTGACATAGATAGCACATTGAATACTTTGTTTCAAATTCTCTTTCATTTCTAAAGATGTCTGCCATATGGTATGGGGGAATTAATATCCAAAATTTATTTGGGCATGGGAGCGAATTGTGCAGATTTTGGATCCAAGCCATTATAGCTAGCACTCTTTATTACACTTAGCACTTTGGGTTACTTAGGCTCCTCAGAATACATTAACAGTTTCACACATTTCAAAATAGGCATTAAAAAGGCATTTAACAACAGACCCTTCCAGAATGCTGCATGTTGCACTCAACTCCTACACTAGAAAAACAGTGTGAAAGAGGCTAAAGGAAGAACTCAAACATTACCTTTCAAAGGACAGGTTGGCATCTTTAACTTTCCTTAATTCTTCCTGCACGAGCTGCTTGGCACGTATTTCAGCATCGAGGGCAGACTGCAATTCCAGCCTTGCTGACATATCCAACTTCTGACTACGCCTCACTTTCCACAGTGGGTCCTATTGCAATGAGGCAGTTGTTAATACCACTAAAGAATTCATTACATGTTTAAATAGTAAAGCTATTGAAATGCTTCACTTGAATTCCTCATCATTAGTAAAGTGGGGCAAAGATCTTAAAAGACAACTATATTTTAATAATATAATTTAATGCATTCCAACTGAAAAAAATGTAGCAGATGGGACAATCTTATACATGAGTTTAGGTAGGACTGAACAGGACTACAGCCTGAAAAACAGGGTAATGTTGCACATAATGCAGAAGTTGACAAAAAAAATCTGAATATGCATTGATCAAGCAAAGGTAAAAAAGATCCAAAAGTTTAAAAGTAATTTAAGATTTAATTTAATCTAATTACTCAAAAGAGCAAATTACTCAGTCGATAACGTGTCAAAATCCATTTCAATGTATTTGTATAGTTGTACATTTGCTATTTACAAATACTATTTGCTAGTATTTGTAAATATGCAAAAAACCAATTTATCTTTCTGTTGTTGTCATCATCATCACCATTATTATTATTTCTATACTGTGCAATAGCCAAAGGCCTCTAGCAGTTCACAACATTTCACAAAAACATGGAGCATAAATGCAATCAAATGCAGGTATTTTTTCAAATGTTGTTGTTAGTTGTGAAGTTGTGTCTGACCCATCACGACCCCATGGACAACATTCCTCCAATGTACAAAAGTTAAAAGCAATATAACAGCGAATACCATTTTATTTATTTATTTATTTATTTATTTATTTATTTTATTTATTAAAACATTTTTATGCCGCCCCATTCGCCGAAGCCTCGGGGCGGCTTACAACATTTCAATACATACTAGACCAGTTAAAAACAGCTAATATAAACGTCCCTTTCAGGTCATTAAATACCTGGGAGAAGAAGCCAATCTTGTTGTAATGACAAAAAGATGACAAAATTGGTGCCAGGTGGGCCTCAGTGGAGAGATCTTTCCAAAATAAGGGGAGCTACCACAAGAAAACCTTCTTCCCTGCTGCCAAACACTGAGTGCCCCTTGGGGAGATTGTGTCTGGCTAAATGCAAGTCAGAGGGGCACTGCACTACATTGTGGTACCAAGCCATATAAGGCTTTATAAGCTAAAACCAGCACCTGGAGTTAGCCTTGGGAGCAGGCAGCCAATGCAAGGGGCTAGGTGGCAGATGTGGTGTTCTACCTTCTGGCCTTGCCTTTGAAACTTTTTCACATTCTAGTCTTTCAATACAGGTTAGCTTGTCATGTGAGAGGTTCCAAGCAGAAGTTCTAAATGAAGCAGTAAACAAAGCCCTGTTCTAGGATTGTATTAGGAAGGAAACTAGTTTAGTGCCTAGAGAAGCTATAGTTTGTTGTTGGGTTGCAGGCTAGGGATTGTTCACCAAGGTTTATTATCTCAGCTGTTTTTGGACAATATGACAAGTCATGACTGAACACTCAACCCACAAAAATACCAAAGACTTTATACATTAATATTTTCCATAGGAAAAAAAGCATCAGAAATTTCCATTGAAAATTTTTCCACACGACATCATTGTCTACAGTATGTGGGCATAGCCACTAATTTAGACTAATTTAAAAGGGGAACCAAACAATTCCCTAGACAAGTCCGTCAATGGATACTGGACATGATAATTCTAGGTACAATGACAATACACCACTGAATGCTAAATGCTGGAAAACAACAGAAAGATATGATCACTGATTCTATACCATGTCTGTAGGATTCCCACAGACATCTGATCGGCCAAGGTGGGAAATGGGATTCCAGACTAGATGGGTTGGTCCTCTTACCCAGTAAAGCCCGTGCGTTCTTACGGAGATGGTTTTCTCCCTTTCCACTCCCAACAGAATTCATAGAATTCATAGAAACATGATAAATGTATCCCAAAATGAAGCATCAGAGGCAACTGAAATTGGAAATGTTGACCAATTAATTAACTGACTAGATTTTCATGCTCACCAATGTTCTCGATCCCAGACTGGAGCTTCTTAAAGATTCAAGTTCTTCTGTCATCTTTGAAGCTAAAGCCTGAAGATAGCCACGTGCATCTTTCTCATCACTCACCCTAGTGTGTAATCATAAAAGTAGTTTACATAGCTTGATACTTGCTATTACCTGTCCCAAAATGTTCAAACCATAAAACATTTTCTTGCATAATGGCCCAGAGTCAATCTACTAATCTGTTTTGCATTAAATGCCAAGTCACAGGTTAAACAACCTATAAATTGGCAGGGCTGTGTAGAAGGAAGCAAACACACTGCCTTCTACCACTTGTCATTTCTGATTTGCATATAATTTGCTAAACAACTCTGGAACACCCCGTTCCTGGGTTACTAGTCATGCCATTCAAACATACCTCTCTGGGTTGTTGAAGGTTAAACAACCTGGAGTTTTAAGCTAACAACAAACCACACATTCAAATTCTGGATTATCAACCATCAACAAACCCAGAGTTTCTGGGTTCAGACATGAACTGGGTTATTTATCAAAGTCTAGGTGACAAGTACATGACAAATATCAGGCTCACTTGTTCACATTTCGTCCCAACTGCCCAAGGACCATTGCAATGTGAGAACCAGGCCACTGTATCTATTAACTGAAAACAGTTACCCAAATCTGCAAATCTTTCCAAAATAAAAGTTTTAAGCTGAATAAATGCCATTATCACTAATTTCATTATGCAGCATGCAGACATCAACTATCAATATTGTTTCACTTAAAATCCTATTTCCACAGAGCAGCTTATATACAGATCACAGGCGGTCTCCCACTCAGTTTATAAAACCAGATTTGCTAAGCTTCAACAGAAGACTCACATCATGTGATTTCAGACAATTTTGACCTTATTCCAATAAACTACTGCTTCTGCTGAGGGGGTATTTACATATTAGTAATATTTATACTATATAATCTGTTGCCAGGAAAAGGGAAAAGTTTTGAGCTAACTTTATGTGCACTTCAAGGTTGAAGAAATCTTATTGGGTGAGAGTAGCTCTACATGACAGACAGGGTCATAAAGACAACCGCCAGGGCTTCACCTGCCCTTTCTAGATCATAATGAAACCTGAAAGCCAGATGTCCAAGCTGGATTCCAAAAGGAAGACGCACCAGAGATCATATCACAAATATACACTGGCAAGTGGAACACACCAAACATTTTGGAAAAAGATCACTCTTATGTTTTACAGACTACAGCAAATCTTTTGACTATGTGGATCAGAAGCAGCTATGGGAGGTCCTGAAAGGAATAGGTCTCCCTCTGCACCTGATTGTTCTGATGCATAACGTGTATCATGGACAAGAAGGTATAGTTAGGACAGAATACAAAATAGTTAGGGAGCCAAGGTTCCATTTAGATGCCAGGAAGCACTTCCTGACAGTTAGGACCCTGAGGGTGTGGAATGGGCTTCCACGAGAGGTCGTTGAGGCCCCATCCTTGCAGGTATTCCAGGATAGGCTGGACATGCATATGGTGGGCATGTCGTGAGCGGAGCCGGCTGGTGCTGGAGGACAGACTAGATGGCCCGGGAGGCCCCTTCTGACTCGTTCTGTTTCTATGTTTCTATGAATACAGATAAACAGAATGGTTTCCCATAGGTAAAGGTGACAGACAAAAATATATTTTATCTCCCTATCTGTTTAATCTGTATGCAAAATGTATCATAAGGAAAGCTGGATTAGAATCAGAGAAAGGAGTGAAAATTGGTAGAAGAAACATCACTGATTTAAGATATGCAGATGAGACTATACTACTGGCATGAAGTACCAAAGATGTTAAATGACTCCTGATGAACTAAGAAAGTACAAAAGCTGGACTATGGCTGAATATTAAGAAAATAAAAATCACATCCACAGAAAAATTATTGAACTTTACTGTTAAAAATGAAGAAATTGATATTGTGAAAGATTTCACATACTTTAGCTTAGTCATCAATTGAAAGGGAAACTGCAGCCAAGAAATTCAAAGCAGACTGAGACTTAGAAGGGCAGCAATGAAGGAACTAGAAAAGATCAGTGTAAGGACATTTTACTGGAGATCAAAACCATGATCATCCACCCCATTGTAGGGCTCTGAAATCCGGACAGTGAAGAAAACTGACAGGAAGAAAGCTGAAGCGTTTGAAACATGGTCCTGCAGGATAACTTTGTCAATACTCAGGACAAATAGAAAGACAAATAAATGCATCTTAGATCAAATCAAGACAGAGCTTTCCCTAGCAGAAGAAATGACAACTAAGGCCGTCCTACTTCATGAGTAGACAAGACTCCCTGGAGAAGACAATCATGCCAGGGAAATTTGAAGACTGAAGGTGAAAGGGAAGACCAAATGTGAGATGAATTGAATCCATAAAGAAAGTCACAGTCTTGAACTTGGGAGACCTGAATGGAGCTTTCATGGACATTTTGGAAAACTTTCACAGGGTCTCCATAAGCTGAAGATGACTTGACAGCACATAACAATAACAATGAAATCCTAGAAAGGGCATTAAGCAATGGTAAAAGAATCGGCAAAGTTAATCTAAGTCAAGATTGTGTTGCTTATTAGGCAGGGCTGGTGTATAAGCACATGCAGCAGTGTGTTCCCGATTCCCTTCTTCACATGACCCTAGAGGAACATCAGACAAGTCTACTCCACCCTGGAACTAGAGAATAATGTAATTGCTGTTCACAGTGTAAGTATTTAGACTGTATGGAAATGGGTTATAGGAGCATTATGAACGCACACTAAAATAGTTGTGCCAACATGATGACAAACTCCTTCTCCTTATAAGCAGGTCATGATACAACTTTTAAAAAAATGTCAGAAGGCTTTACATCACTTCATGGTTTACATCTAGCATAGGAGCTTTCAGACAAACATTTAAAAGATCTGGATAAACAGCCAACTTACTTCACATTAAGTAATGTTAACGTATGACCCAGACACTTCAATGAAATCAGTTGAAAGCTCCTATAATAGTAATCAAACAAACAAACAAAAATGCCAGGTTCAATAATACACAATCAATATTTGTGGCTGTGTGAGATTTGTGAAATGTGCAGGATGACATATTTCAGTTCTCTGGAAGACTTGTTCTTCTGCTATGGCGTATTTTTAAACGGTCCCCAAATAGCACATACCACTGAATTATTTCTGCAATCTGAGCTTCCCAGTGGGCAACAGATTCCTTCTTTGCCGCCAAATCCTGAAGTTCATCTTCTAGCTGCCTGTTTTGTGATGTAAGTTTATCCACAAAAGAACAAAGCTGCAATGACAGAATTAGTAGTTTTCACAACTGCAATTTAGTGCAACTTCCTGGCCCATGAAACAAATGTGAAACCTGCCCGCTTGCAACATTTCAGGCCATTTTCCAAAGAGCTGAATTAAGGAGACCCCTGTGGGTAACAAGGCGCCTTTATGATACATTTAAGAAAGAGGTTCACCAAACTATTTCAATGTTGTTAACTGAGTTATTTACTCAGGTGTATAGCTTCCCTTTGGATCAGTTCAAATAATTTCCTTAAAACTAACTAAATGTTGTTAATAAAAAGGTGAATAAGGGGAGACGTGACAGAGATATACAGAATCATGCATGGTGTAGAGACAATGAAGAGGGAAACATCTTTCTCCCTTTCCCATAATCCTAGAACAGGGGTCATCCCATGAAGCTGACTAGTGGTAGATTCATGCCAGATAAAATGAAGTACTTTTTCACACAATACAGAATTAAACTATGGAATTCATTTCACAAGATGCAGTGATGGCCACCAACTTGAATTGCTTTAAATGGGACTGGACAACTTCACAGAGGAGAAAGCTGCCAATGGCTTCTAGTGTTGTTAGCTTTATGCTGCTGTCAGTATCAGAGGCGGTATGCCTGTGTACACCAGTTGCTGGGGAACATGGGAAGGCGGGTGCTGTTGCACCCATAGCCTCCTTGTGGGATCCTATTGGATGGCCACTATGGGAGCATAATGCTGGACTGGACAGATGCTTAGTCTGATCCAGCACTGCACTTATGTTCTTAAGTATCAGCAGCCTTCTTTGCATCTGCTTAAGGGCTGGAGACAGTAGAAGGCCACAAATGACTCTGAATACTCATGCAATGTAAGACAAGCTTAATGTAATGACGATTTGCAAAATGGGAACACTGACTTGGGCCTCTTGGCAACAAGCCAGGGTCATAAGCAGTTATGTTACTGAATTTCATAATTAATCAGCTCATGGACAAACTGGTGGGTATGCAGTGCTCACCATTGTAGCAAGCTTGTTTTGCTGCCATACTAATTTGCTATTAATTTCAGAACAGACTGTAAACCTGGGAGCATGTACAGCATGCATCTAAATTATGGTCCTGTGTCTCTCTGTCTCTGTGTCTCTTGAATTTTCAGCCTTCACCATCATGGCACTGGCTCTGACGGTTCATCTCTCCTCCATGCTGAATTGCTCAGCGACAGCAAGTTAACATTATGTAGAAAACCACATCAAGCAGGAACGGGTGCAAAATGTGGCAACCCATTACCCAAGTCCAAATTAAAGGCCCCCAGATTCAGTTTGATAGTATGCAGGAACAAATGCTTGTATACACAGAACAAGTTCTTGAACAAGAGTTAAAAGAGAACTCTTGCCTGGGGTTACATGAGTAAAACATGTTTATTTCTCCCTTCAAGGAAATAAATTCACTTGGGATAAGTGTTCTCATCACTTGTCATAAAACCATAGTATGTTGCTGACTTATGACTCAGGCAGAGTTCTCAATTAGGAAACTAACTATGGATGGAAGGTCCATGATTTGTTCCTGCTTGTAGGAGAAACCCTAGCATATTACATGAATGAGAACCGGGCCTACATCTGATGAAAAACCAACTCTATTTCACTGCTAGTTTTGTAAATTACCCTTTCATTTTCACTTGTAATTTTCTTGTTATCTTCAAACAGCATGGTTCTCTCACGCTCATATTTCTCTTTCAGAGTTCCCACTGCTTCCTCCATCTCACTGTGTCTGCAAGTGAAAGAAGATCATATAAATGTTGTTTCACAAAAGTACAAACTATTGTTACCTTTTGAAAGAGGTGGGTGATTAACTTTCCCTTAAAGTTTTTGATTCCATATACTTTTTAGAGAATTTATTAAAAAAAAACTTTCAAGAAAGCTGTTGCACACAGAACTTACTTCTCCCGTTTTGCCTTATCCAATTTATCTTTTAACATCATGATCTCTTTCTGCAATGTTAACTGATGGCTTTCAAAATCATGCACTTCCTTCTTTACATTTTTTACTTCTAACACATGGGAAGCTTCTCGCCTGACCAGCTCTTCTTCATAAAACAAGATTTTCTTCTCAAGTTCTGACTTCATTTTGGCTAGTTCTTGTTGATGCTCTTGCATGGCCATTCCTGCTGCACGTCCCCCCTGTTTTACCTGTAAATGGCCAAAATGGATTGAAAACATCAGCAGAACAGCACAATTCACTGAACTGGTTTGCACATCACAGTAGCAAAATATCAGTTATTTAATTCATTACTTGTGGGGATGTATACCATATGTGAGCTGCTTCTAGTTTTCACAAATAACCTACTGACCTATGTGTGTAAGTTGTTAGTATAACGCCTGAACCCAAATGCTCTGGGATAATTTTTGGTTAAACAATGCAGAGTGAACTTATGATCTGTTATTAGGTTAACTCTGAGTTAATTAATTGATAAACATCATGGAGAATTCTAATTCAGATGGTACCTGAAGGACCACCTGCTCCCACATGCACCTACCCAAGCAGGTAAGGAGGATGGCTAATAAAAGAGGAGCCTTCTCTGTACCTGTGCCCCATCTATGAACAGCATCTCAAAACCAGTTCACCTGGTTTCCCAGTCTTTTCAGTGCCAGGCGAACACAGTTTTATTCTCTAGACATTTAATGATTGATTTTATTCTCATTATTTTAACTTGTTTGTTGTTTTATACAGTTTAATATATACAGTTTTAAATTATTGCCCTCAGCTGTGTACTGTCTTATTTTATTGTCTTCTGTTCACTGTGTTTTAATTGTTGCTTTTATCGTTATATGTTTTAATTATTGTGATCCACTTAGAGGGCCCTCAGGCCAATTAGCAGAAAATAACTCTAAAATAAATAAATAAAATGTTATGCTAACAGCATATAAATGTGGTGTTCATAGATAGCTTATTAAGCTAATACGAAATGGTTCATGCACAGCACACTTCCCAGCAAACCATGGGCTATTTAACCCATGAGTTGCAGCTGTAATGCAAAAATTGTCCCTGTAAGATACTAGAAACATAACCATTTACACATTTTAACTCCTTATCACCAAAGAGCAGCCCATGCTCTTTAAGTACAGACAAATTCCTTGGTCTTTGTCTAGGTGAGAGAATGCTTTTGTTCCACTGTAATCTCTCAGACAGGCATGAGCTGACAGAAGACTCAGACATGCAGAAAATATGTTGTTCAGTTCAGCCAAGCTGTACACACTGGACTGCAAGCAGGCAGCACTGGGAGAACTATGTCTAAAAGCTCCTGCCAGATCACAAACATATACATTATTTCATCAGAAGAAGCAAGTCAGCATTCTGTTCCTGATGTTTGGAAATTATTTTCCCCAGCAATTTGCAGAAGTCTGTCATGAGAATGACCCTGGGTTCTGTAAAAGGGTAATACTAGATTGGTAAACATGAAAACAGCTGCCACATGGCTGATTTAACCCCCTACCGACCCATGGCAGCAGGTTCCATGCAGCTTATCATGTGGTTTGTGGGATTTTTCCATGCGCTCCAAACATCCCAAGAAAATCCTATAACTCACATTGTGGGCTGTAACGCACAGGTGGTCAGCCAAGTGTAGAGAGATTTAAAGCAGTCTGCATCTGGTGGTAGCTTAATAGGCACTGGTGTTAATGGCTGCTGCCACATTAAGGTTTTGAGACTTTCCCACCCATCCTGGAAACATATTGTCAGTATGTCCAATACACAGAACTGAATACAAATGTGGCACACATTCTGCAGAATGAATTCTGGAGTCTTTCATTACAAGTCATATACGTTGAACCAGTGATGTCCAGTAAGCATTCTAACAAGCTATTTTCAGGAAGTGGGTGACATGCAGTGGTAACATTAATACTGTAGACCTCAATTTCTAGCTTTTGCAAGGTAAAATTTTTCTCATGTGGTTTAGGTGGTTTAAAATACATCACCTTCAGTGTTTCCAGTTCATTTTCCAATTGCTTAGAGAAACTCTCACTATGATCTCGAAGCTTACGCTCTTTTGATGCTTCTGCTACTGCATCTTCAAGTTGAGCTTCTAGCTATAAAAAGAAAAATAGGTCTGATTACTCAAACAGTTATAGCTTAGCTATTACTGTTTTTATTTCTAGAGTGTTCAGGTGAACTATGTGCTGTATGAAAAATATGAGGAAAAGATGGAGACTCGCAGGAGATAGAGAGTGATGAATAAACACGGATCAGCAAGATCAGATTTCCTCATTTGATCTGAACCCCAATAAATTCTGGAACTCTCACAAGAATAAATTATGCTTCTTGATGGATCATCCTCAAGCTTATGGCCTCTCCTATGACTCAAATATCTCACTGAGGTCTAGACAAGAATATTTTTGTATCAATGTCTACTGAGTGGGGCTGTCAAGGACAGGGCACTTTGGTGGCATTCATTCATAGTGTCACCATATACTGGAGATGATTTGACAGCACGTAACTGATATTCCTAGGAAAAGTAACTACTGGATTAAAGGCCAACAAGAAAACATAAGGCAGTAAAAAAAGAATGTTAGCAATTCTGATGGACCAAAGCTGATGCTTCTGGTTCACTCTTGCTTGCTTTCTCTCCTCCTGGACAGGAGGGTTCAGGATGAAAACTGAAAGGTCGTGAAGGCCCACACTGTGGTCCAAAAGTGCCACCCTGACTGCAGAAATTACAATGGAGTGTATCAGTGAAGCAGCTGTCTCACACATATTTCTCTACACGAGCTCAAAGGGTAGAGGTGGTTTGGACGGACTAGAGGAAAATAAAACAGCTGCTTCCATGTGTGAACTAAGCCACAGTAGCTACTTCAAGCATAAATCACAGCTGAATGCCATTATTCTCAAGTACCCTGCTGAACTACCTCTTTTCTTGCTTTCTCAGATTTACGAATTTCCTGTCTCATGGAGTCAATTTTCTGCATGATCACTTCCACTTCTTCCTCTTTGTCACGGAGCTGTCGAGAAAGTTTCTGCTTGTGAGAGCGCAAGTCTGCCATCCTCTCGTTCAGCTCAGAGAACTCCTGCATTGCTAGCTTTCTTTGTTGATGGGCATCCTTTAGTTCTTTGGACTGTGCCTTTAATCTTTCAGATGCTTCAATGAGTTGCTGGCAAAGAGAAAGGCCAAACAAGTTTTTACAGGTACCGTTTGAGCATGAAGTTAAATCATGTTTAACACCAAACAGCAGTTCAGCTAAGTGTACAGATACTCAATACAGCAAAGTTCTGGCAATGTGTAGCCACCGTCTCTGCATATCCCTACCTTCAGCATAACAAGTGTGGTGTAGCGGTTAAGAGCATGGGACTGGGACTCAGACGAACTGGGTTCTAGTCCCTGCTCAGTCATGGAGCCAAGTGGGCGACTTTGGGCCAGTCACAGACTCTCAGCCCAACCTACCTCACAGGGTTGTTGTTGTGGGGATAAGATGGAGGAGGAGAATGATGTAAGCTGCCTTGAGCCTTTGTAGGAAAAAGGCAGGATATAAATTGGAAAACAAAAACAAAAAAACAACAATGAGCATTTTGATAAAATACAAATAGTAGGAATGACTTTCACCATCTTGCTATCCAAATATCCTGCATTCTTATCTTTCTTTTCATTCCTGTCTTTCATCTTCCCTTCCCTTCTCATCTCTCTTAAATCACCTTTCCAAGCACAAACCTGTTACTTCTTTCCTTCTTCCTTTCCTCCCTTACCCCAATTCCATTCTTTCCTTCTTCCAGCACTTTCCTTTCCTTTTCCTGATGCAATCACATACCCCCTTATTAAAAGAGCAGCAACCAGGAAGACACCCCCAAACGCACACTCCTCCATATGCTGCTACTGCTTCACCTGCATCTATCTGGGAGAGACCCTACCCAAACCCAGGAACAAGCAATGGTCATAGGCAGCACAGTTACTCTCCTGAGCCAAGGGACAAAGAAAGAGTTAACACAGCAAGCAACAAGAGCTGATTACTGTAGGTGATTATGGTTTCTCTAGAGATTACACCAGGAACTTCTGCAGCAACCTCTCCTCCCTTCACAGGGAAAAGGGTCTGGGAATAGCTTGGTGTAGCTGCTCTCACACCTTATTCCACCAGCCATTTTGGTGTTGTACTTAAGTTCGGCAGCAAGGCAGAGAGGAATGCTGTCTCTTTTCTGAGGGTCAAATGTAAAGGAACCAGCGTGTGTGTGACAATTATTAGTCTAATGCATAAGAAGAATGCTGCTGGATCAGACTGAGGATCCTTCCGGTCCAGCATTCAGTTTGTACAGTGCCCAACTAGCTGCCCACAGGATCCCACAAGCAGGATTTGAATGAAGGAGCACCCTCCTGCCAAGGTCCCCCACAACGGGTGTCCAGAGGTATTTTGCCTGTGACACAGTTTTTGCAGTGGGTAAAAGGAGGTCCATGTGCAAAAATATCATGTGAAAGTCTGCACATGGAATGCATGTTCAAAAGAAACCTCAAACCAAATCTCAATCCCAAAACTGGTATTTATGGTAGTAGAAAAAGGTGAGGGAAGTGGCAGAAGGTGGGTGAACATATAACTGTGCTGTCTGAGTGTACTTGGAAATGCCCATGGCTATAAAACTGGCTTATACACCTGCACAAACTTTGGTTTGTACACAAACGCCTTGAATGGCAAGTATTAGCTGCTTCCCCATCGGCCAGAAGAGTCAGCTGAGTGGGACAGATCAATAGATTGCAAGCTACCAAAGCAAAGCGGTGTGGTGGACGAAGGGGGGCTGGTTGCCTTTACTCTGCCATAAAGCTTGCTCTCTTGAACACTTAACTAATTCTCAGGGTAACCAATCTCAGAGCTGTTTATTAGTTAATTGATTATATTTATATCCTGCCCTTTTCCCTTCAAGTAACCCAAGGTGAACTTACATAATCTTCGTCTTCTCATTTTTTCCCTCACAACAACCTTGTGAGGTAGGTTAGACTGAGATTCAGCGACTGGTTTGAAGTCCCCCAGTGAACTTCCTGACCAAGTGAGGACTACTACCTGTATTTCCCAAGTCCCAGTCCAACAGTCTAAACCACTACCCTACACTAGCCCTTTGTTATAATGATAAAATGAGATCATCCCATGAATACTGCCCAGGGAGGAAGGAACAGTACCATCATGACAGGCGATTCCTTACTGGGTTGATTTAGCGGTGTCATTCTACTGACAGAACTTGCCAGTGGGTTTGGGTGTGGGGCAATTAAGAGCCAGTGCAGTGGCTAAAGTGTTAGAATGCAGGTCTGAGAGATCTGGGTGCTAGTCCCCATTTGTCCACAAAGCTCACTCGATGACTTTGGGCCAGTCACTCTTTCTCAGTCTAATCTTCCCTATAGGGTTCTTGCTGTGAGGGTAACATCACAGTAGAGCTGGAAGGGGACAGAAGTCCATTGAGTCCATCGCCTGCTCTTGCAGGTCACCAATTTACACCATCCCATTCAGATGACTGTCTAGCCAGCCACTGCTGCCTTACTTAGCTTGAGGAAGAAAGGCAGGATATGAATCCAAAGTATAAGCAGAAATAGTACTATTTCCCTTCTCTCTGCATTCAGCGGGCTAAGAAATGTCCCAGAGAAGATTTTTGGTGGGACTGAGGGCAGCAGCAGGGAAGAGAGATGGGATACAATCCTACTATTCCAGAAGACATCCGCTAACATGACACTAGACTGAGCCTTCTGAGCTATCAACTCCCATAAGGTTTTACATAGGTGGAGAAAGCAGTCACAGACTGATTGTTTTAGTGAAGCATTGTCTATACTTAATACCTTATGCAGGTCTTCCTTTTCCTGCCTTAGTACCCTGCATTGCTTTTCAAGGCCTTTAATCTTATGAGTGGAATCTTCATGTTCTTGCCGCAGTGTCACTGCATCTTCGAGCTGCCGCTCTAGCCTATTTGAATCTATAAAGTTTTTAAAAAGAGAATGTTTCATAGTATTTTCACAAATTACAAACAATTTTGACTTGGTTCTTCTATTTCAAAGAGCAATTTAAGCTGGACCAGCCAAAGTGAACTAATACCAAGACACATTTGGTAAAGCCCTGTTATCACAGCTCTGTTTACACTGTGGCTAAAAACAAAACAAAATTCAAATCTTGCATCTCCCCAATCCAAATTCCAGTACCGAAGAGATGTGGATATTGAAAACAGAACAAATTATGCAATATAAGCATTTTTGCCAGATGCTTGTTTCACAACACTGATTCTGCTTCCCATATCCATGTTTTCAAAGGCTGGACTCCAAAAAGCTACTTTAGGTATGCCCCCTGCAATTTGTTATGGTTTCTCTTTGAACAGCAGACCCCAGCATATCATCAAATTGTTTTTGAAGGGCCCCTTACTTTAGAGGGTTTGTTATGTGACTTAGAAGACTGCTGTTTAAGAGACAAAAGTCCAAAGCAACTTTATTTGTGAAGAGCGAATTGTGCAGTTCTTGTAACATGGTTACATCCAGATGAGTTGTATAGGCCAACCAAATGAACAGATGGCACAGGAATGAGTAACAACCTAGGCAAGTCAGTGCAGTTCCAATCCCCTTTTCCACAGACACATTTCACAAAACATAATTTAGTTAATTTCAGCTTTTCATGCTAACACAGAGAAGGGCCACAAACTTTTAAAGGAAAAAATATTAGAAAGAGAAAAAGTGACAGGACACATCTTGTACTATGGGTTTCTGGTACAATATAGTTTATCCAGTTTAAGAGAGTGGATAGCTTTTTCAGAAGTGGAAACCCATTGGGTTGCCCCATTTGGCAAATCTACATTTCCCAACTTAAATATTTGCCTGGAATAAATGTATATTAAGTGAGTTATATAATTTCATTTTGGTCCAAGTTCTTTGTATTCAAGCTCCTGAATAACTCAGGCTAAAAGGAAAGATGCCATTTTGCAGAAAAAATATTAAAACAAACCCTGTTTTAATTATTAAAACAATAATTATTAAAACAAAACCTGTTATAAACTCAGATTGTTGTTATTCCTTCAAATGTGTACCAGAATTTACAGTGGTGTTCATTTCAACCCAACTAAATGCAAATGAGCAAGAACCACCCCTCAGGTATTTCACCTGAACAAAAATTCTCATATGGTCAAATACCTCTTCAAAAAAATGGAAGTAGCAAGGTTACATACTGTGCTGTTAGTTTCTCAGTACTGTGATATAGCTTATCTTAACCCAGTTAACTTTATGCAGGAGATTCTGTGTAGCAACAGCTACTCCAAGGACGGGCTTCTATTGCTGTGCACCACCTCACAGCACACACAGGTACATACATGCATGCTCACATACACAAGCATGCATGAACCAACACCATATAAACTGAAAAGGATGTTTTGTGAGAGTTAGCACAGTGTAGAGAGTAAAAGATAGTAATGGTTCAGAAAGTCTCTAGTTCAAAACACGGCTCTACTCATTCCCTAGGTGACCTCACTAGGTGGGATCTGAGATAAATCACTGTGGGCACAATCCTATCCAAGTTTACTCAGAAAAACGCTTACAACTTCCAGCATGCTCCATCTGCCATAGATTTGCATAGATTTGCGCTTTATAAGTCTCGAACTCACACTGGAGTATGGGGTTAATATTCTTGATCAAGTATTACTGGAGATAAATACAGGTATCATGGGTTAAGTTAATAATGATTTGGAACCATCAAAGATATTGCTGTTGAAATTCCAAGTCCGCAGATAAACCACAGGTGCTCTCTCCTTTGCTGCTCTCTAGGAATGTCAGGTATGTAGCCAGAACAGAGATTTTAAAGGGCAGCAATATGCAGGGCAGTCTTCCCTGCTGCCCTCCAGATATTTTGGTTTGAACTCACACCAGCCTTCACTAGCATGAGAAATGTTCAGGAATGCTGGGTGTTGCAGTTCAAAACACATGGAGGGCACCAGGTTGAGGAAGGCTAAACTGGGACACACTGCACCATACCCTAGAGGGCACGATGGCGCAGGTCCTCTGGTGCAAACAGTGCTCTTGGTGCTGGGTGCACAAACAGCAGCAGCTGGCCAGAGCCATATGCCTCTTGTTTTCTTGTAGATGAATTAAACAGCTTGAAATGACTATTATCAGCTACAGCACCAAAATTAAGGATTAGCTGCTTAGTTTGCGGCTAAATATCTGAGCAAACTAAAACTATGTCAAGCTGAAAACATTATGCAAACACTATTTTCATGGTCTGTGATCTTTGTTCATTTTGTGGCCCTGTCCAGGCTCCCCCAGTGTCCTATCCTGGTTGTACTACCAAGAAGAATTCAGCTGCAAGTGACTCCATGTCTGAAAAAAGAAATTTGAGATTCACACTGTAGGTATCCAATTAACAGGGCTATAAGAGGGAGCCACAGTTTTAAAAGTATTATATATGTGGAGATTATTAATACTTGAAGCTAAAATTGAGGCTTTTTGGCATAACGAATGCAGGCCAAGATGAAACACCTAGCTTCTTGTATACCTCCCTATCTTATATACCTCCCTGTCTTATACAGATATCAAAAGAAAGTGAAATATGGTACAGTTATTTTTTTAAGGACTCATAGATAAAGTCTGCCACTCTCTGAAGTCGGAAAAAATTAGGAGAAGATGATATTAGGCTTTTGATGGAAAGTACATAAATTAAAAGAACCATTTAACTGAAACTGTACAAGTTGTGCATGTCTTGGATTCCTGGTGAGATTAAGTTGCTATGAAGCTGAGGAAGCTTTAGAACATACTCTTTTGTTTAAAAAGATGTAAATATCACTTAAAATTGCATCGGCTACAACTCTCCAATGCTTTAAAAGAAAGCAGTTTTTCATATGTTTGCTACCTTGGTATCACACTAAAGCTCTAGTAATGAAATGAAAAAGGCTTGCCTCTGAAAGCATACTACAAGAAATAAGGCTTTATTACTGGAACTATTTCATATGTCTTTCAGGACTAGGAAGAATTTTATTACGGTTTGCTAAAAACATACCTGCAATTTTGTTTTTCAAGCGCTCAATTTCTTCATTCAACTTTTTAATTTCTTTATCCCGGTTTGTGCTTGCTGATATGCGGCCAGAACCATGAAGAGACTGAACAGTCTGTGTGGATTCTTGAATGAAAAAGACAATATTTATTCAAAGGCAACTGCTCCAAGTACACTCCAATAACTTGTTTAGATATGGTGTGTCTAACTTTTTGACATTTCCCTCTCTTTCTTGCAGTATGTAACACTGCCACCAGGAATTTAATTACCATCTTATTAACCTTTCCCTCAATATTGTGTCCTAGCTATAAGACTTCTTCATTGGACTAGGTGGTCCTGAGGATGAGAAACCAGTATTCAAACATCTTATGACTCTGGGTTAATAATAAACAAAAGAAAACTTTATTTGTACAACAAGTGTATCGGTTTCAAGAAGTTTGGTAACTTATTTCCTTATTAAATAAAACTCTGCTTATTAACAACTTCTGACTGAGATGATCTCACTCTTTCCCTCCACAATCACTCTCAAATCCTCCTCTCTCTTCTGAATGCTCTTTGACCAGTCTTTATTCTATTTATTCTCAGTTCAGTCTTTCTCTTCTGCACTCAGGTTTCTGTCAGCTTCTATCTCACACCTCTATAATACTTGACAATATTAGAGAATACTTGACTCTCCCTGGCTGCTAATGTGTCCTTCAAGTGTTCTACTTCCTTCTTTAGAATCTTAAATGCTTTTCACAGCACCACACAGGATTCTAATGGGAAGGCTGCCTCTTCAGAGTCTCCTGACCTCTGACTGATGCCAACTGACTGGAACTGCTGACGGACCAGTAACCTTCTGCCTTCTCTCTGTCCTCACACACTTCTAAGGCTTGCCGCACACTCTCAGTCACCAACCAATCACCTCACCCATTCATTCCCCTCATTTACCCCCACTGCCCTTCTGAAACTTACCAACATTTAAAGAAACACACACACACAGCACATTAAATCATTATAGTAACATATTCTATTCCTCCATCACATGCAACATTAGAAGGATGTGAGAGCATGTACCTTGCAACTTCCGGCTCAGTTCCAGCTTTTCTTGCTCCAGTCTTCGGATTCTCCTTTCATATGCCTCTATTTGCAAGCTGTTTTCCAAGTCACGCTGAACATCCTCATCTTTAGTTATAC